TATTTCTTTTGGTTAATTTCTATCCTGTATATTATTTCTAAAAGGTGTTTTTTTTGTCGGTACGCCATAACTTCGTAAATTCTTCCTCGAATCTAATGATTGAACACTCATTTTGAAGATATTCTTCTTCACATGCGAAAAATATTCCTAAATTTCTGGAGACAAAGTTATGAAGGAAAAGAAACTTTATTTGCGAATAATTCAAAAAGTATGCAATTGTCTGTATTGTAACCATGATAATTATAAAGATTACTAAATTACCTGCGAACCAAAAAAAATCGTAATAATTGGACAATTATTAAAAAAGATACAGTACATTAGTTTTGGTATACTTAAAAATGTCTTACTGTTTAAAGATATTCCATTTAGGAGTAGAATAGTATACTACACATTTTTTCCTGGCTGATATATTAACTTTATTAATTCTTAAAGGCGTTTGTTTATTTTTATATTTTATTTTATTTTTAATAATTTAGAAAATTCCACGATTGAGGCATTATTTTGTCTTTATTACCTTTATTATATTTCCAGTCAGCGTTTAAAAATAGGTCCAAGCAATGCAATTTTTACATATATTTTGGTCTATTATGTTAACTGGTATATTCTAATCGATCAAGGATAAAATTATAATTCCTTCCTTACATAATACATAGAATCTACTCATTTCCATATTGTTTTGCTATTTCTTCACTAAACAAAATTGTCTGCGAATTATTCACACGGGCCAACCAGTATATACTTAAAGGTGATACCTATTAAAAAAATTGATTTTGTTTTTTTTATGTTTGCCCTTCAGCATTGATTTGTTAACTCCAGTTATGATTTATTTTAATCTTATTTTATTACATTAATTTATTTGCATATGAAATATATAGTAATTACATAAAGATATACAGTAAACTAATTAATGTTATTTGTTTTTCGAAAATTAACTTATAAAAAATAACAATAAAACCTGATATGTTTACTGATTTCAATATACTGGTGAATTAAATAATAAATTTCTGTGTTTAGAAACAATAATAAATTAATTATTAATAATCATTATTTGTTATTATTTTATCAATATTATTTATAAATATTAGTTATTAACTAATTAATAATATATAATAAATTTTAATAAAAATGGGGATGATTGGAATAATAATGGAAGAAAATACGAAATGAATAAAGGTATGGAGAAATAGTTCGTTGGTATCTAAGCTTAAATATGATAGTTTGTATGAACTGTAATAGTGAGTTTGCGTAATATGTAGAAATGAAACAAACTAGGATAGTGAAAACCGAATGAAAATGCCATGAGCTGATAAATCGCATCGCGTAACGTTTGTAACTTGTGACCTCAAATGAAAACGATATGGATCACACCCAGTATTCGATTTACCTCAAAAAGAAAAATTATATTACCTATTCACACCTCGAAAAATTTTGAATACGAAATTTCATGGCAATCGAAACGTTAAATTTGTTAGCCTAGGTTGGACGTTTCGAAATTTTGTTACCAACCATAAAAATTGTGATATCTTCAGAACGACTCTACCTAATCACACGAAAATTATTAGAGACCTAGGGCCCTGTATACTACGCAAAATGTAAAAATAAAAAACATATAAAAATCTGACCGTAAACAAATTAAATATGTGGAAAAAAAATTATTTTTCTATCCAAAAGAATCAAATTATATTAGATACAAAATAAAAATATGTGAGAAGTTTTCTAAATTTCTAGCTTAAAAAAGGAATGAAATCCAAAACTTATTGGTGTGGATTGGAAGATCAATTATTCAGCTTACCATCAGTTGTACAGACGTTGAATTTGAAGAGAACTTTGGGAAGTTATGAATTCTTTAGTTAACGCCCTGAAAAACGATTCTCATAGAAAAACCAACCAACCATGAAAACCAAGTACTAAAATTTAAAATTTTTGTAATCTATAAAAATTCGTATTTATGAGTTAAAAAGCAGGAAATTTAAGTTTTGGATATTTTAAAATAAATCAAGTTATTTTTGTTTGATAGGAAACTATAATTAAACAATTTTAATATAGGCAATAATCAATTTAAACAAATTGGACGAACTTTTCTTCAAATACGAATAGAATTTCTTTTAGAAGAGAAGGATGGTTGGGGTGTTCAGTCAAATTGAAATGGTAAAAAATAAATAATTTTATAAAATTATAGCTTATAGTTGATTATTACTCCACATTTCTGAGATAAAATATAAATCGTCAATTTCTTGAAATAATTACACTTAACCGTAAATATTAGAATTTGAAGTTGTGATTATTTAATTGAACACTGATATCATTATGACATTTGAAGTCTGTGTAAATAACACTCCTAAACTATCACTTTCAATAATAATTTCTGAATATTTCTTTTATCAAAAAAAAAAATACACTTTGTTACTTATTTTTCATGTGTGTTAAAAGTTTATTTTAGTAATATATTATCAGTAATGTATTTCATCTAAGGCAAATAAATAAAAATACTTGAAGCTTATAAGACATTTTCTTAAAAGTGGGGAACTGTAAAGTTTTCCTAAGATGATTATAATAAATCGTGGATAGTTCATGATTCCTTGAAAAACAGAACATAGGGAGGGCTATTGATCCGTTTAAAAATCATCATAAAATGATTTTAACAGTACTTAATTCTACCAGCGTTTGATGAATATTTTGTCTAATCTATATAGGAAAAAATTAACCATTTTTAACAGTTTTTTAGTTATAGCTTTCTATAAAACAAAGAACGTAGATTATTTAAAAATATAACAAAACTTTCTTTTTTTTCTGTTAGGTATCGGAACATGATCTTTATGAAATATTTTTGGAAATGTGGAGGGAAAAATTACCTATTGGACTGGAATTACTATGGTTCACGCATTCTAATGCACTCTATATATTCTAGAGCAGTGTCTCTATAAAGCGATAATTCGTTTTATGTTTTCACATGTTTTTTAATATAAAAAAAATTTTGACTAAAATGATTTCGTTGATTAGATTTTGTAAACCACCTTACCGAACTGTGGCAGGATTCCGCAAACAACTTTTTATTGGTATCACGAAGAAAAATAGTCTACATAAAGTTTTTTTGAATAATTTGTACTAATTTATGTTATTAAAAATTAATATTAGTTGGTGATTGTTTATCAATTTCAAAATACAACTTTTATCAAAATACGTTTGCAAATGACGGAAATAAATTTTGCGTTTTTTTTTTCCTATGACTTCTGAGGCTAGTTAACTTAGTTACTTAAAGTTTAAACTGATTCAAAATACATATTAAAAATAGTATTGAAATTTGTTTTGTAAATTATATGAATTTTTAGATTTTTAATTTTATACTACTTAATTTAGGATTTAAAATAAGTTCTATAAAATTAATCAATTTGATTTCCATGTTACATTATAGCAATAAAACACTGAAGAATCCTAGTTTATAATTTTTGGTTGTTTTAACGCGTCTCTAATACAAAGTGAATATTATTTTTCAGAAAGTGTTGATATTTCTATACATTGTTTGATTTGTTTTTTTTTTAACAAAGAATAATTGAGAATATAATGGAGCTCACCTTTATTGCCGCAATGAATTTCCCGTTTCTATTATTGTTTTTCTTTCTTTCTTTCTTTCTTTAAAGTGGAGCCTTGAATTACTATAAGTATAAACTTCTCTAAAATAAATAGTATTACAATCCTTTTAGCCAATTATTTATATTTTGAGATTTTAAATTTTAGTCAATATTTTATTTTCTTATATTCGTTGTAGTTTCTATATTTTTTATTGTTTTAAATAAAGTCTATAAAATAAATAAATTCGACTTAGTACCTTTCAGGTTGCATTAAAATAAAACACCTTTAGGACCTCTAGTATAGCTATAGTACTAAAATAAGGTATTGATTTTGACGTTTGTAATTTTATATTTTTCGACAGCAAATTTGGCGTTCCTTTTTTTTTTTTTTTTTTTTTAAATGTTAGACCGATTAACTTAAATTAATTTGAGTACAAACATATTAAACATATATTAAAATAAGTTATTTTACAATCCTTTTAGTATTCTTTTAAAATTTTAATATTTAAAATGTTATAGCATATTTTAAATTTATTGTACTTTCGACATTTTATGCAATGTGTGTTTTAAATAAAGCTCAAAAAATAAATAAATTCGATTTAAGGTCTCTCAGGTTTTATTATAGCAATAAAACATCCTTAAATTTTTCTTTCATATTTTAACGTGTTTCTAATCACAGAGTGAATATATTACTTTTTTTAAATCATTAAAATTATCAAATACACTCAAAATATAATTTTAATCAGTAAATAGTATTACATCGATTGCACTTATCGTTTAAAGAAATTTCGACTTTTTAAAAAAAATAATTTCATATTTATTAAGTTAATTTATTAATAAATAAACCATTATAAAATTATCCAGAATTATATTGGAGGTTACCTTTGACGATTCTGTAGTAATAAAATAAGGTACTGATTTTGACGTTTGTAATTTTATATTTTTCCACTGCAAATTTGTCAATTATATTTTTATATTTTTTTTAAATGTGAGGCTAATTAACTTAAAATATAAACTTACTTTAAGTAAAAAATGAAGTAGTTACTTTATGTATAAACTTATTAAAATAAATCGTATTACAAATTATTTTATCGAATTACTTAAATTTTAAGATTCCAAGTTTTAACCTATATTTTATATTTTTTGTAATATCAATATTTTATACTATTTTTTTTCGTGTTTTAAGTATAATATATAAAATGAATTTTATAAGGTACCATTTTAGTTTTAAGACTTCTAGTTCATGTTTTAATGTGTCCTAACGTACAGACTGAATATAATTTTTTTTTTAATTATTAAAATTTTCAAATACATTGAAATATAATTTTAATCAGTAAATTGTGTTACATTTATCGTATTGAGAAATTCCGATTTTTAATTTTTTTTTTTTTTTTTAAGTAATGAATTATTTGGAATTGTATAGGAGCTTACCTTTGTCGATGCTGTAGGAATCCACAAGAAAATCATCTCTGGTGCCTAGATGAAGCCCGAAATTTTGGAATATCCTACCGAAGAGTGTTTTCTCGAACATGGCTACAGGCAGAGATCTGGGACAGAGTCGTATCAGCACCTTCGCGGCCCAATAACAAAACTGGAGGGGAGACTATCATACAGCTTATATAGCAGTTTACCTCGTGTACTTGACGAAATTATTTAGTAGTTATATAAAAAAAAAATTCACCTAAAAAAATATATAGGTTTACAAATCAGCACAGAGCCTTTCTCAACGAGACATTCTGTGACAAATCAATGCGACTTCCAACTTAAGTCAGAATTCACCCATAAATTGAAAATCTTTACTTATCAACGGCATTGGAGATATAAATTATTTTTTTAAATATCATTATCACAAATAATAATTCATATTATTATTTTTTTAATATCATTATCACAAACAATAATTCATATTATTATTATTTTTTAACATGTTTCTAATTAGTGTTCAGAAGAACAAAACTCTTCTAAAAAATATAATAAGTAAATAGTGGCTACAGTTAACTGAAACAATAGTTCTTTTTTATTAATTTTTCTTTTTTAAGATTTGACGTCTAAAACTATATATTCGCAAAAAAAAAATATATATATTCATTAATTTTACTTCAATAATTAATAGATGGTCAAATAGGTCCAATTTGAATTTAACTAATATTAAAAAAAAAGTATTTAATTTTATTTGAAATGGTTAAAAATGGTGATGGAAGTAACTTATTTATAAATCAAAGTGAAAAAAATAAATAAAATAAATGATGTTCCTAAAGTAAGAAAATATCTCAAAATCAAAAAATAATAACATATTTATAAAACTGAATATTTTAAACAGTCTAAAGTAAAAACTAAAATCCTTCAACAAAATACTTTTCGCTTTTCGATTATTGTCTATTGAAGATCGCACCGTGCGATGTTTTCTAATGTATGCTTGTACATACCTATTTGTACAGTTTTATTTTTTTTCACATTGAACAAAATTCCTAGTTAGAAAAAAAAAACATCTTTAATAACTTGCCTAGCTCTAATTAATAAGTCGGTAGGTAATACACAAAAAATAAACAAATATGTCATTCATTTATTTTTTTTTATTTAACAATACTGCCGTCTTGTTTTAAAGTATATCCTAACGAATCCACGTTTTTTTTTTTTTTTTTTTTTTTTTTTTTTTTTTTTTTTTTTTTTTTTTTTTTTTTTTTTTTATGAGGCTTTCAGCTTTATATATATATTATCAGCTTTATATATATATATACTTAGGAAGAAGAAGAAAGAAACTAACCAGCTATATGAAATGGTGTTTAAGTGACTCTTGAAGTCTTATTAAATATAATTACAGGAACAATAATACTTTTAGGTATAACTGTTTAATATTTTTCTCATGAGACATGGTTATATTTTTCCATTTTGGTGGGGGTAGTGAGCTAGCTATTGCCCAAAGTTTCCTCCCTCCACCCTCCTCCCGTTGTTTCACCTGTGAAAGTATACAAATATTTTAATGCCAGATTATAAATACAGTAAACAATGACCCAGCAATTGCATCCCAAATGCTTCAATCACACATCATAAATCTAGAAGAATGGTGTCAAAACTGGAGAATTAAAATAAACTCCAATAAATCCCACCAAATTACCTTTACCCTTCGTCGTAAACCAACGACTTCCTGTCCTACAGTTTCCTTCAACAATACTCCACTTATCCCTGTTGAGCAAATCCGATACCTAGGACTCCACCTGGACAAACGACTAACTTGGAATTCTCATACTAGACTGAAACGACAAGAAACCGCTCGACGTTTCCGATTACTTCAGCACTTACTAGACAAACGCTCTAAACTTCCCATTAATTACAAAAGACTCATATACTTGACTATAATAAGACCTATTTGGACTTACGGAGTTGAGCTATGGGGCTCCACTAAACCATCGAATTCCTCTCGCATCCAATCCTTACAATCCAAAATCCTTCGTAAAATCCTCAATGCTCCTTACTTTGTCACTAATAAAATTATCCATAAAGATCTTAATGTTCCTTATGTTTCAGATCTGGCCCAATCCAGATACCTATCCTTCCATAATAAACTTCAGAATCATCCCAACCCTCTCGTTTCTAACCTTGCTTCCTCTTCAATTCCTGATAACCCTCCGAGGCGTCTGAAAAGAAGATGGCCCCGTGATCTCCTAATGTAGTCATATCATTAGGGTGCTACCATTGGGTAATTACTCAGCAAGTGTATTCATGTCATTATATCAATTATGTCCAAATTTACTTGATGTATTTATGTAATACAGTTGTAAATGTCATAAAGAAATAAAAAAAAAATAAAAAAAAAAGATTATAAATATGAAGCAAATTAATATTTGCCATAAAGTTATTCTAATTTTTCGACATACTTACATAACGTCATTATTCCATGGCGCTACAGCTTCAATTGGGAATTGGCTTCCACGAAAACCATTCGGTCTCTAGCACATCAGGTTATCAATTCCTAATTTAAAGAAGAGGCTTTTTTTCTTGTTTCAAGGCTACGAGCTACTAACGTTTAAGTTACCAATCTTATTACACCTGCCGCATCATCATTATCATATTTACGAGGTAACTAGAAAGCCGACGTGCTCGCAAGAAACGCAGCTGAGACCCCTATTATTGTTACCAGAACCTGTAACAGTAATATCATAGAAACTTTCTAAGCAGCTAGTAGGCCTAAACAGAAATGGAATTAATTATAAGAGGAACAAACAGGACTCCGCAGGCTAAAAAGACATCTAAAGATTTGCGGGAATGTTAAGAAAATCACCAGAAACTGCCATATACTATTTAATAGAATGTGATCGATTCGTTCCGCTTAGATATAGGCTTCTACGCTCGGACAGAAAGCTTCCTCCATCAAATGACTACCTCTTTTGAACTTCATCAGGAGGAAAAGGTCTGTGACAGAGATAGAGGTGATATAGATTATATAGATTGGTATTACTTTCGGGGTTGACAAAATGGACCAGTAGGCTCTTTTGCCCGACGAATCACCCCACCAATACCAGAACCAGTAATAATATCATATATACTCCCACATTATAGCTTTATTTGAATCTACCAAATATGAACCTGATTTTTACAACTACTTCAGTAAGGCATGTCCAAAGATAGTTTTACGTCAGCAAGTTTCCTACAAGAAAGTATTTTTTTAATATATTTAAAAGGATTTATGAACATCCAGTGTATCAGAACGTTCACGAATATAATATTTTATTTTCCAATTTCTAGTTTTGACTTTTCTTTTTAATTTATCTTTTCATTAATTTTTTTTCTTATTGGTCAGTGTAATAAATAATACATTTACATTGTTTATTATTTATTAATGAATGTTTCGGGGAATCTGTGTCCCTCTCTTCAGCATATAAAATAATACAACCAATATAATATAGGTTCTATCATAAACCAGACATATTTAAGATGAGGGAAATGGTCCGGGGTGGTGGTCATAAACAGACTAAAATAGTGGAAAAACTATTTTATTTGAAGCCAACGTTTCGACCCTGCTTTGCAGGTATTCTTCAGGGAGGTGCGTTCAGAAAGGAATTTCTGTTAAATCAGGCATATTTAACATTAAAACGCATAACGTTTCAAAAAGATATATCAAAATATTTGTTTGTCTAACTTAATATAAACTATTTTATACACATTACTTAAACAAAATAATATAGAGACATGAAATGTCCAAAAAATTGGGTAAGTCCAAATTACTAATAAATTTGGTCAATGTCCGATATTCAAATGTCTGGTTAAAGTTCATGAAAGGTTGTGGGTGAGGGGTTAAAATACTAAATTTGTAATCATATAACTTGATTCTATAAATAAATAATTTAAAAAAATTAAATGTACTATTTATTATACTGACATATAGGCAAAAAAACATTAATCTTTTAATTAATTAAATAACCATTAATTAAATTCATTAATGATAAATATTTTAGTTGTACCGAAATGTTCAGAACAAATGGGTACGAGTATGCCAATTAGTAGGGTTTATCTTCAGACTCCGTTCACTCCATCAGTCACACTTCATCTTTGATTTAATGTTTGTGTGGTTTATGTTTTACAATTATTTATAGAAACGAATGCCGAAAATTTAATTTTTCCTTTTCTGAATAATTTGAAGGCATAGATTACTATGGCAATGAAAGGAAGGTTAGGAATAAGTTGTATTATACCCAGTACCCATGGTCATTTTCACATCATCCGTTTATAAAAAAAATTGTAAGACGATAGTTGTTATTTTACATTATTTAACAGAAATAATTGAGCTTGAGCTGTTTGATATTGTTAATCATGGCTTGTGAATGACGAATGAAGACTTACTAACTGCTTGGGTACAGAGGTGCCCATTCCTCCAAAGGTCGATGGCGCATGAACTCCCTCCACCCTCCTACCAAGAAAATGTCTGTTCTCCTCTTCTCAATAACAGTGCAAGCTAAAATAGAATTTTAAAAACCATAGGCCATATACAATTATACTTTCAGTGGTCTGCTCTATGTTTTCCTCTTGTCCTCCGGTTTGAAACGTTTTATTTAGAAAAATAATAACCCTTTCGAAATTTACCCCCCTCAAAACTTCAAAACCCCGTCAAAATGTGCTCTCCTCAAACATTTTTATGGTGCAACTTCCGCCATGAAAACTCTTTCTGGGCACTGAAATGTTACGTTTTGGTGTATTGAAATTTATTCTGGATGCCAATGGATAATTCTTGATGACAATTCTCCAGAATTATTTAATAAAAAATTAGTAAAATAAATTTGGATCTATAATATATTGATTAGTCCGGGATTAATTAATTGGATTTCTTTTCTGAAAGGCTGGTTTGTGTTTATCATGCTTTCTAATTATCAACATTTCCTGTGATCATCGTAATATAAATAGGTTGCAGAATTGAAATAACTTTTACTAACAACTTAATTCATATGTTTAATAAAGAATTATATACAAATAATATAGAAATCTCAATGTGTAAGTACTATATAAGAAAATAAAAACATGATTTAATAATGACTGTGCAGGTATGATTTAAGATGGACGGTTTTGAGAATTATTGCAATGAAATATTATAACATTAGGATTGGGAAATACAACTTAGCTATTATGGTATGTGAAGTGGTGTGGTTGGTAGATTTCATCGCTGCATCTGCTGATTCTAGGTCATCTAGTCAAACTCAGGTCCAAAAACTCCTCCAAGATGCCCATCTGTGTGGTCTATGTGGGGCCAAGGCTTCAGTCCCCAAGCCGGAAGAAAACATAAGACCTATCCTCAAGACCGAAAATCAACATCTGACTTCCTTTACTACTTCTCGGGACATTTTATAGAAATATTCAGGGTGGTGCAAGGATGGTTTCCATTGGTTCTTAACTTCACCCTATTACTCCACAATAACTGGTAACACCCTAAAAGGAACCAGTTACTTAGCCCGTTACTAGTTTTTACTCTGAGCCTTCCCCAGGATCCAGGTATAGGTCTGTCCTTGCAGGTTCTAGGCAGGTACCTGATGTGTTTGAAAATCAACTTGTTTTCAGCACCAAATAATAATTTTTAAAAACTTATTTGCTTTGTTCAATACATAGCAGCACCTTTGCTTGAGTAAAACAGTTACGACGAATCTAAATGTTCTTTTATTTTTTAAACAAACTAAATTATGAAAAACGTCTTACATCAAAAGAAATGGACAGCTAATTCCTAATCCCAAGCGGTTTTGAAGCCGTACTCTTGGTGGGGCGTGATCCAGCATTTTCTCCTTCCCCTCTTCAGTATTCTCCAGTTGTAGTTTATTAAGACAATTTCGGCATATAAAATTGGAGGCCATCTTGGTTCGTCGGGCAACTAATATTTGCATAATTGAAGAGAAGTCGGTTGGGGTGTTCAATAAAAAATAAACAGAGATAGAAGCTCTTTATTTTCATATAGAATATAAAAGCGTGCTGCCAAATTATATTGGTTTACTAGACACAAAGCATACTGGTTAATCCTTAGGATAATCAATACAGCTTATATTTAAATATAAATAAGTGGTTAGGATATATATTAGTATAATAAATATATATATTTTTTCCTTGTTCATCCTTTTTCTTTTTTTACATTTAATTTCCCTTTCTCTCCCTCCTACAACAAATAACAAAAGTGCATAAAATATATAAAATATAAAAATAAATAAATTATATTTATTTCTATATTTGCCAACGTTTCGGCTTTAAGTTCAGACCTTCATGAGGGCTAAGAAAGTATGAGTTGATCATATGAGAAGATATTGAATTATTAACAAAAAATAAAATAAATAAATATAAAATAATCTTAATAATAATAATAATGTAAGGAACATATGAAAAAAATTAATTACATTAAAAGAAAGGAACTTATGTTAATATTTTCTTATGTTCTTATCGAGTTTTTTCTTAGTCCTGATGAAGGCCTGAACTTTGGCTCGAAACGTTGGCAAATATAAAAATAAATATCATTTCTTTATTTTTGAACGAACACACCAACCAACTTCTCTTCAATATTCACTACAGTCAACCGAAATATCACTATTAATATTTATGTAATTTTTTGTGGTTATTTCAATTTAAATAGCAATTATTTGAACAAACTATTAACTAGCATGGCTTTAAATATTCAATTGAAGTTGGGCAAGTTGATTTTGTTTTATTTTTAAACATATTTCAATAAACTTCGGCATGTTGCGATTTCCAGTTTATTCATATAGATTTCACTTCGGCAAATTTGACAAAAAAAAAAAAAAAAAAAAAAAGGAAATTATATAATTATTGTAACAGTTAACAAAACTGAGTTAAAATTTATCTTTGATTGGAAAACTAAAAACTCAATTCAAAGTAAACAACCATGGAACATTTTTATTTTTCTCCTTAAAACTCTCCTTTTGAAAAAAACAAAAATTTAAATAATTCAAAGTTTGATCGTCGATTGATAATATATATATATATATATATATATATATATATATATATATATATATATATATATATATATTATGAGATGGTTTATCTCTTAATATATTTTAAATACTGTATATTGCATCTCAAGTTAAAAAAAAAATATTCATTTTTCTATTAAGCCTATTAAAGGAGTTAGGAGAGTATTACATACAAAATATTTACAAATATATGCATGTATTACAAGATGACGTGGTATTCACACTATGTATTCATATTTGTTTTTTTCATATTTTCTAGGTAATATTGGAGATTAAGGGAAACGACAAAATATTTCAACTTTATTTGTGCCGCACGAGTTCGCCCTAACTGTGGAGAAAAGAAACTCGTATTTGTCTTGGAAGATTAAAGCTTTATTTCGTGGAATTCTATCTATATTTCTATATATAGAACTTTGTTTACCCCTAAAAAAATTCAAAATCAAACATATTTTTCACCTGTTTAGTTAATAAAATTTTATTTTATTATTTACCAATTATTATAAAACAGAAATTAATTGTTACATGTTCTTACTAAATCATATGATATAAGGTGTTAGTAGTTCTGTTTTCGAATTTAGAACAGTTCGCAGTTTTGATTTCAAAATTTTGTTCCAAATACTGTACTTAACATGCAAATCAAGTTTTATCAATTGTTTTTCTTTGTGATATGTCAACTTTATGAAGTCGGGCACAGCTTTGCCGTACAGGATAATGAATCTTTTCTTTCAGGTATTTAATAATTGACATTTTAAGTGACCACGGTTGATTTATTGAATATTAATTTTCATCGTGATGTTTGGAGTTCCATGCAGTGATAATAATAATAATAATAATAATAATAATGCTTTATTTATTCTGGGACGAGTCCCTTTAGAATAATACGGAGATACAAAAATGTGGGCTAAGGAGCCTAAGAGATACATAAACAAGAATATAGTTTGATTAAATAGTAAAAAATAAATAATAATAATAGTCTATTTTTTTCTTCGATTAGAGCTACTCGTTTGCTTGTTAGATTACACTATAGTATTTTTAATTTTGAGAATGTTAAATGTTACGCATGATCTATATTCGCCATGAACCTTGTTAGTTAACAAAGTGTTGTTTGATTTATATAAGCATTTCAGTGCCACAAAAAAAAAAAAAAATTGTTCAGTATTGTTTATCTTATTTATTCTTAGCGCTACGGTCCTAGAAGAACCTGGGACTATATTACAATCTTCCTCCACTCTCCTCTATCCGGCGAGCATTCGCGATCTTCGGATTCCCATCCTTTTCAGGATGTATTCCACCTCGTCCAGCCATATTAGGCTTGGTCTTCCTCTTCTACGTTTTCCACCAAGTCGATTCTCGAGCATTTTTTATCTTACAGAAGCATTTGGTGCTACAACCCTACTGGGGCTTGGTAATTAGGCACCATAATTTTGTGGGATCTGTTCCTATTTTCTAATCCATATAACATCATATTTGAAGTAGGCTTCGGATACATGCTGTCACACCATCGTTTCACTTCAGCCTGAGTATTTCAGATCTTCGGGTTCGACTTCCTCTAGTCCTCTCCTCGGAATATCGTTCGTCCTATATGCCCTGACCAAGCAAACCTTCTTAAATTCACAAAACTGTCTATAAACAGTTCGTCATACATGTGATATAGGACTCTATTCTTCCTTGCACACCTTTGCCTGATCCCATTCCTTATTGGCCTGAAAATAGAAAATAGGCTCTTTTGGTCGTGATCGGCGAAGTACTAGCCTCCGAAGAAGACCAGTAATGGAGTGGCCTAGGAAGACTGGAGGCTGTTTGGTTGTGGGATGGAGGTCTGGTGCTGAGTACATAGCTTATTCGATTTCTTAATATAACCACATCAAAAGTCTCCTATCCATCATATATAATAAGAATATATGTTATAATAAACTGTAGATAATTAGCAGTGGAGAGTATATGTAAAAGACAAAATATTACCCAACTGCTGCCGAAAACTCCGCTTGGCATAAATTCTGGAAAGGAGGTATAGGAAAAAAAAGCACACACTCTAGGTTCATTTCTCTTATATCCAGAACTTAACATGACTATGCCAGCAGCAAAGTTGGTTGCTGATATTTTTATTTCCAACCTCACCTTTTAGGCTAAACGGTGACTTTTCCTGACCAGGTGAGGTGGCGGAGGAATAATACCAGAGTTAAAAGCTCCCCCTTCCTCCCTCGGCACCTGAACTCGTAATTATTTTGTATCTTTATAAACTTCGATTCATCGGTTGCCGGGCGACGCGTGTTTTGCACAACCTTAACTCACTCGACCACCCCGTCCTCTAGATTACTGATGTTAAAAACTACTGTTCAGTCCTGAAACTAAATTTCTGATTAAAAAAAAAGAAAATAATCTCAATATGCAAAAGATCTTCTTGGTAACTATAAACTTGACATTGACTAATACCTTAAATTATGATCGAAGAAGACCAAATCACGTATGTGGTTCATCTCATGTGTCCAATGGGAGTTGAAAAATTGATTTACGAATTCTGGCACGACATGCATTATTGAATGCAACTTAGATCCGTCAAGTCTTTCAGCTTTCATTTATAGACAGATGCGTCATAGAATTTTTGATATTATTAAATCACCAATAAGCTAACAAAAGAAAAATAAATATCATTTTATTATATAATTAGAAACTTCCTTATTAGAAGCAGTAATATTTTTTAGTTGTATGTATGGCATATTTCTGTCCGTATATTTAAAAAATAAATTTGTACCCCGGAGACAAACAATACCATGTCCGTTTTTGTATTTGTTCTGAGAGTCCTATGGTCCAAAACTTTGAGCTATTGAAATGTGTTTCTTTGTTACTAAATCTGTACTACGGGGGACTAAAGGACACCATGTCACGATATTGTAGTTTTTCGGGGAGCCAATTTTCCATAACTTTGATCTATTAAAATTTGCTTTTTCGTTTCTAAATTATTTAATGGAAAATGGACATATGGACCTTTGGGGTACAGAAATATAGGAATGAACAACCATTGAAAAAATTTCAGAAAAGAATTTTTACGTTAAATCGAGGAGTAGGACGAGATGAAGGTTTTGAGATATTCTAAGACTAAGAGATTAAGGTATATCTTCTAAATTCGAGATAGGAGTGTGTTAAATGTAAGTATACTAAGATTTAAAGTGGTAAGAGCATCAAACCTTTGAGTTAGCCAAGATTTCATTAGTATTATTATTATGTGACAAATTATTTGTTTTGTCATGTATGAAGTGTTGCAAACATATCGATAAATTATATCAAATTACTTCTTATGAACTAAGCTCTGCTTTTACTCGCTTTTAATTTAAATTTTACAACAAAAAAAAAAATTAACATTAAATCATAATTTTCAGATAGACCTAAAACTCAAGAATCGAGTTCTGAATTTGTTTTGATGACCCAGGATAAAGTGGAATTAGAAAGACTTTGCACGGAAAGATCTTCTAAAACAGATTGCAGTCAGATCATTAAAAATATTGATGAGAAGAAAGGAAACCCTGGAATTTTCATGCGAACAATCAATGTATTTACTAATATATGTTACTCTGATATTACGTATGATCTATTTGGAGACCTTATACCTTTGAAAAGAATTAAACGTAATTCAAAACCACAAATCATTTATAAAAAAAAGAAAAGTGTGAAAGCATGTTCCGAAGATCCCGTTCTTAAAAATATATCATACATAAACATCAATACGAGTCCAACAAAACTTAAATTGAAACATACGAGCTTACCTGACGAAACAAACAAGAACAGGTTGAATTACGACATTCAAGAATCTACGTTCGAAAAACATGAATTAACTCTTAATTCGCTTAACAACAAAATAGATATTGCTAACCCAGAAAGTGTTGATTCTAAAACTCGAAAAGAAACTAATGAAGATGTAATCGTTAATAATGTTGCTGTTCCTGAAAAATGTATCATTGTATTAGGAAATGAAAACACTTCGATTACTAGAAAAGAAGAATGTGCGACTTATTCACAAAAGGACAGTAATAGGCCAAACTATCTTCACAGGAACCCTGACTTGAAATTGAAAAAAAAGGGCTTCATCTATGAATCTTCAGAAAAAGCTCATGAAGGAATCACGGACACGGATGTACCACTTAAGGAAGAAGGTACAACTTGTTCTCAGAATGTCTGCAGTAGGCAGAAACATCTTAAGAATAATCCTGACTTGGAGTTCGAAAAAAAGGGTTTCGTCCAAGAATCTTCTCATGAAGCAATGAATATTGCCAATGTTTTAGGATTAGATGCGTCTGTTACCAAAGAAGTGGATGGAACAACCTGTTCAAAGAATGTCTTCTGCGTCTGTTCAAAATTGTCTAAATTACAAAAAAAAAATCAGTATGAAGAAGAAGAACAAACGTTCAACTACGGTTCGAAAAAAATGAATAATGATTATGTTGAAGAAAAAACTTGGCAAAGTGAGTATTATATGAATATACTTGTCGAAAACTTTGAAGGGATCAGATATGTGTTGCTTGAACGCCAAAAACAGTTGAATAAGGAACCAATGACTTATTATAATTTACTAAAAAATATTTCCTCGCTGATTGAGAAGATAGATCTTTTGAAAAATAAAATAGAAACGCTGAATATAAGCCTGATTGAAAATAATATTTTGACTCCTGACGAAGAAGCATTGATTACGGGATCGAAGTTAAAAATAAATGAAGTTGACATAAATAATAACAAGGAGGAGGAGAGCTCTATGAAATTCGAATATAGATATATGAGTGATGGAAATAAGAAATTTGTCTTTTCAAGTGCTTGGAGTCAGTGTGTTGTCTGCATCACAGTCGCTAACAAAGTAAGCCATCATATAGAAGTAAAATTATTTGTTGACTGAGTAGTATAATGATTCTCCATCTTGCACAAAAAGTTTAATGGTTGTTGAATGTTCACTATTGAATAAGGTCGATAAAATGAGCAATAGTAATGAGTGAAAAGTTACGTTGATCACTCATTACTCAGAGCTATTACTTAATGATATGACTGAGTAAATTAACAATCACTTTTTGGCTTGAGAGATTGAAATTTATTTATTTTTTTTATGGCAATATTTACACATTACCTTATCTACTGCTTAAGGAAAGAAATATAATATATAGATAAGGATTAAAAAGATATAAAAATAAATTTCATTATAACAATTATCTCTCGGTAAAGTTTTATGTAAATTAGCAACCGGAAGCAATGTTGAATGTATCTTCTTTTCAACCCAATATATAATTCCTTAAAGAAAAATATTCGGCTGTTGGGTGAAGAGACATGCGGTTTTTAAGATATAATGATAAAATACCACTTAAAAATAATAACAATAGTGAAATATTAAAAAATAAAAGTACTTTGATCATTAAACAATGTATAAGGCTGGTTCGTTTTAATTTATTTTTTCAAATATATAAAAAAACCTGCAAATTATTTCACAATAGTTTATTATTTCCAAACAATTAAACATCTAAAGTAACATTACCGTCCTAGTTACAAACAAAAATAAATAAAAGATGATTTCCATTATTGGACTAAACCTTTTTTTTAATCATTAGTAATATGCTAAAAAAATGAGCATTACTTCAGTAACACATTAAAAATTCAAAAATCAAAACAAAGGATATAACTTTGGCAGTAAACATATTTAAAATAACAAGAGACTATATCTTTGCTCCAAATTTTCCGATTTTAACATTTTTTTTTTTTTTTAGGAAATTTCGTAAATGTTTTCATAACTATTACAATATTGACAAAAAAGTATATACTCTTTGAGTAATACGGAATTTAATTTTACCATTCCTCGTAACTTTTTTCCAGCTTCTTTTCGTTGAATTATGTTATGTAGATAAATTCAAAGGGCGTCTAGAAGAATATTTAAAGCGAAGTTTCATTGAAATCGGTACATTCGTTTAGACGCTACAGTCTATAGCAACGCAGATTTTTCGGCCGCCATTTTGAAAGTAAAAGGCGGAAAGCAATGTAGATGGAGGGTGACTTCTGATTTTAAATCCAAATTTGAAAAAAATCGGTCCAGTAGTTTCGGACGGCGGACGGACAAAAAAAATTGTATCAGTTTTTCGAATTCTACGTATCCTGAAACGTAAAACCTCAAATTTTGAGAGGGGGTTAAGTTTTTGAATTTTTTGGTCGATCACAATGGTTCATTGTTAAAAATAATAAACCAACATGTAAATATTTAAAAAAATACATATTTTTCAAAGTTTTCAGCTTGAATCCGAAATTAAATTTATAAATTTAAATTAATTCACTGACCAAGTTTTGCTATTTGTTCAAGTAATATCTAATATAAAATATTAGAAAGTAAAATATCTGGCTTTTTTGGCCGTAAAAAATTTCCCCTTGGTGCCCCGCGTTATTAACTTTGATTTTTACATGTTTAAACTTCTACACACCAGAAAAAAAAAAATGGACCAGTAAAAGCAAGATGCCTTGTTTCCCAACTGTACTGTGGAAATCCAATTGTGCTTTGTTCCCATGTTTTTAAAAGAATTTTGTACAATTTACATTAAAGTTCATGGCTTTTGAGAGATAAAAATTAACTTTTTGAACACTTAAACATTCCAGATGCATTTGTTTAAAGATTATGTTATTATCTATAAAGCCCACTTTATAGCAGGGGTGCCCAAAAGGGGATCACAGGGCACAAATTACGCCACTGATATATTTTTTTTTTTGAGGTAGATATATTTTTACGGGGTTTCGAATTTTTTAGAAGGGAATATTTTTATAGAATAACTTTTTTGTGAGGTGTCATACCTGAGTAAAGGAAGGACAAATAACAGAAAACAGCTAGTATAATTGTAAATTATTATACTTTCACTAGCATCGTCCTTATAAATTGAGAGCAATAAAATATCTTGGCCGGAGAGTTACGCCAACGACGTTAGGCGAAATGGGCACCCAATTCTTTCAAGTAAAAATTACTTTTTGTGTTGAACTTAACACCCAAATATAAAGTCAGGAAGAAGACACGATAAAAGTATTGAAAAATTTATGTCATTTAAAGTTATATAAAGTACCAATTATTTTCAAATTCATTCATAGCGAATAAGTAAAGAGTTGTGAGTAAGGATCGGGTATTCACTCGTCTACACTCATTTGATGAGTGACTTGTGATGAGTAAATAATACCGTAACATGATTAATGAATTAAAAAAAAAAATGAAAACAGAAAGAGGCTTATATGACGCTGATTTATTTTAAATGATAAATAAGAATTGAGTTTAAAATATAATTGTTATGGAATATCGATGAAGTCTCCCAGTCTTTGGATTTAGACAAATGTAGCAAAAAATATTGCTCCTTTAAGTTTGAACTAAATATTGATAAAATTAATGTCTAAATGAAATTATTTGAATTGTAAATCTTTACCCATTACAGTCTTTTTACTATTTTGATCTAGAAATAAGGCATCAAATCTCAGTTTGCTCAGGAGTGAGGGTTCGATGTGACTATGGGCGTCAGCACGTCAAGTCACATCTAATCCTTCTAGCAGATTGGAATTCATTATTAGCGTAACATAATAACCGAGAGTAGTCTAAAGAAAATTAGTTGTCTATCACTCCTAAAACATTTCGTGATCTTTCAATTGTAATAAATGATGAGCAATCACTTCACGTTATTGCTTGGAAAATTCATGCGGTTTTCAGAAGATTTCTAAGCAATCACAAGAAAAACACTCTTGTTAGTTTCGGAATGCACATAATATATGAACTTATACAAAAGCTGCCCCCCACTTATGATTTAAACTTAAATCTAATTGATCCTAACACTGTTATTACCACGTATGCCGATGATACATGTGTCCTATCCGTTAATAATGACACAACCATTGCATCCCAAACTCTTCAATCACACATCACAAGCCTTGAAGAATGGTGTCAAAACTGGAGGATTAAAATAAATTCTAAAAAATCCCATCAAATCACCTTTACCCTTCGACGTAAACCTATGACCTCATGCTCCACAGTATCCTTTAATAATACCCCACTTATCCCTGTTGAACAAATCCGATACCTTGGACTTCACTTGGACAAACGTCTAACTTGGAATCCTCATAGCAGACTGAATCGACAAGAAACCGCTCGACGTTTCCGACTACTCCAACACTTACTAGACAAACGCTCTAAGCTTCCAGTTAATTACAAAAGACTTATATACATGACTACAATAAGACCTATTTGGACTTACGGAGTTGAGCTTTGGGGCTCCTCTAAGCCATCGAATTCCTCTCGTATCCAAACCTTACAATCCAAAATCCTTCGGAAAATTCTCAATTCTCCTTACTTTGTCACCAATAAAATAATCCATAATGACCTTAATGTTCCTTATGTTTCCGATTTGGCCCAATCCAGATACCAATCCTTCCATAATAAACTTCAGAACTATCCGAATCCTCTCGTCTCTAACCTTGCTTCCTCTTCTATTCCTGATAACCCTCCGAGGCGTCTGAAAAGAAGATGGCCTCGAGATCTCTTATTGTAAATACATTTTGTTTTAGAGTGCTACCAGTGGGTAGTTTCTCAACAAATCATTTCATGTTATTATTTTCTGTTATCAAATTTACTTAATGTATTTAATTTTTAAGTACAGTTGTAAATATCATGAATAAATAAAAAAAAAAAAAAATCTAATTGAGACATGTGACCAAAGTCCTTTTTAACAGTGAATTAATTTGACATATCCTTTTAAATCCAACTTAATTTTTTAAGGCTAGCCTTAAAATTAAAATACATGAAAGTACAAGTCTATTTTTTTTTTTATTATGGTATGAACGGATCGTGATTCAAATTGATTTTTCATTTCAAATTACAGTTACAAGAAGCCTTCAATGCCATTCTCAATAATTTGGATTTTAAAGACATTCCACCTACTTATTTAAACTTGGGAGATGACTGGTGCTTCAATTTTTCTTTAAGGTAAACATTTATTTAACAAATTTATTAAAAATAATATTTATAATCTCAAAAACTGAGAAACATTCACTACCGTTATAGGTTAACCAGTTTTATATCCCAGTAATAATTATTTACGATTTTTTTTTCTGAGCCTCCTCCTACACCCTTATAGTTCAGTCGATGAATGCTCGAAAAGGCTGACAGCGAATATTATAAAAGAAATTGTTTCTGCAAATTCTCGGAATTGACAATTAAATTTATAATTGATCTAACATTTGAACCGTTGGAGATAAACTGGTAAAATAATATATTTTCTTGAAGAAAATTAATAATTAAAAACTTTCTTTCCCCATGACTTAATCGTAGAATGTATCAATTAAAAATTAGCTTGTTAAATACAGTAAAAAACAAGAGATAAGATTTTGTTTGTCCAAATTAGGGGTAGTTGACGACAGATACCTCGGAAACTAAACGAGATAACGAAAAAAGGCATACAATCAATCATATTTTAAATTTTATCAGCTTTAATTTTGAAAGAACGTCTTATCGATGCCACGGATAGTTTTCGTTATATAAGCGAAACCTGAAAAAGGTGTCCATCTTCTTCCCCTCCCCCACATCTTGCTCACCATTTAAGAGTGGGGACTTTTAGTGTGTTTACCTCCTTACTAATCCAAACAATCTCCCAAAGTCAAATATAGTCCTTCTATAATCATTCATTGACTGGACTACTTACTCGATAGTTCGTTTTACGTTTCATGCACTTTACATGTTCGAAGTATTTTGCATTTTTGGAGTATATTATTGTTCATATTAAGACAACAAAGAAGATTCATAGTTTTAAAAAATAAATTCCTTGAGTACCTAATTTCAGTTTCGAACGATATATTATTTTTGAGCTAGGCCGGTTCGCATACCCACATAATTTTGCGAGGCTTGATTATTTGAACCCAGACTATAGAAGTCTATTTTCGTTAAAAATATATATATCTCATGTTTAAATGATTGAATGTTAAGAAAATTCCGTTTTTGAAGTGAAAATTTCTTTAGGCACGTTTTACACTTTTTTGTGGAGAGTGAATATATTCACTGCACACCAAACAATATAAAAAAGGAATTTGAATTACCCGACTTTTTGCAAGGCAACATGTCAAATTTGACTGAGCTTAGATTAAATTTATAATCAATAAATTTAAAACTTTCTTTAAGCACATATAATGAAACCTAAGAATGTGTTTTAGTTCTTCTTTTCCGACAACAAATGAATTCCAACACAACTGGTCTAATTTACTCAATGAGGAAGAAATGGATATAGAATACCAGCTTGATTTCGAAAATGAGTAAGATTCATTGTTAATTTGCTATTTTTATTTTATTTATTTTTCCTCATGACTAAAATTTCCAATGTTTTTAGATTCACTAAAAAATGTGATCTTTATCGATCTCTAATCTCAGATGAACACCTTTACCGTCATTGGCTTCGTAATAATAATGATATGGTGAAAACGCTCTGTATAAGGTATGGTATAATACTTAGTGAAGTGTTAAATTTATAATGATAATTTTCATTTATTATGTAAACCTTTTACAGAGCAATACAATAACTAATATGAGATTAAGAATGTTAATTTTTAAAACACTATATATATTTTTTAACTAAATCGATATTTCTTGGGTATATAAAATGTACATAAAAGATAAGAAATATCGATTTAATTAAATAATTTCTCATGGCTTAAATGACAATTTTCTGCACTATGAGATCACATCTGTTGATTGTCAATTCTATGACAGGTGTGGATAGAAGTATGAAGAGGTAGAAAAAAAAAATTAAATAATATACAGTGTTTTAAAAACTAACTAATCTCATATTAGTTATCTTATTGTTCTGTAAAAGGTTCCTGAATGTTTTGTTATTGTTGTGGGAATCATTACATTTCTTTTTGTCTTTTTAAATTTCAAATCAAACTGTTTTGTTATTATTACATTTGTTTTCGTCTATTTAATATATATGTTGTAAAATAAAAGTATTTTTTTATTATTACATTTGTTTTTGTTTACAATTTCAATAATATGAATATAATACAATAAATATGAATACGAAGATAGGAATTATCAGTGCATTATCAGAATTATCAGTGTCCAGGTTATAAACATTAGCAGGTACCGCCCGGTTATTTAAGAAGTACAGGTTCCTGGTTCGAATCCGGCTGATGTCAAGTACATTTTCATCAACCGTGTATCGACCCTCATGAGGAACACCCAAGCTCTATAAAATGTGTATTCTTTATTAAATAATTGATTAAAGGAGAAAACATGGTCGTTGAGAGTGAACCTGGCCGGATCACCTCTGCTCAATATTATCTTCCCGACTATATATTATATTTCTGCATTATTTTTAAAAATAATTTTTACAATACATAGACAATTATGTTCCATACAATTGAATGAAGTTCAAAAATACACTAATTAAACAAATTTTTTTCAGTGACTACACTATCGAATTTAAATCTTGCTCTCCTTTTGTGTTATGAAGATGTAACTTTTACTTAAATAATTGCAATAAATTAATGAAAAATGTAGAAATCATGATTTGGATGTTAGTAAATTGTGGTTTGAATTGAGCGCCTTTTAGTTACTTGATGGAATTGCATTCTGGGATCCTAAACGTTAAACCTCATTGGACTGTTACAGCTGATCTAGTCTTGAAGTCGGTAATTCGTGTGTTTTTTTGTAAGGTCTAGGTTATTTATTTGGTCTATTCTTATAGACCAATTGCACTCTATTTATAATGTTCTCGATTAATATATTTATTTTTTCATTCCTTTTCATTTATGGTAAGTTAAAGTTTAAATAACGTATGTATTTAAAAAAGTGTTCATTATTGGAGTTTCATATCATGAAATATATATGTATTTCTTTTATCATAATTCACTCATTCCTCTATTTTTGAAGAACTTAGCAAAACATATGTAGTTAAAGTTATTAAAAGTTAAAGACAATTTGAAAATGTGAAGTGTGAGGTTATAAGATTGCAAGGCTAAAGGGGACACACCCACTTTTTAAGAACAAATATAATTCTTTTACAGTTAATGGAGCTGGTGAATTTTGTATTTTACAAACTCCTGAATCAATTTGTTTCTCTGGTCAAGAACAACTTGATTTGAGTTCCGTGAAAAATGTCTTGTCTTCATCCTGTGGCTTCACTGTACCAGAAGTAAGTTATCATATCTATACTTCATATTAATTTTTATTTAGGACATATTTCATTTTTACACCTACATTTTTATCCATTTATTTCGTTTTTTGAATTTCTTTATTATATATATTTTTTTAATTCTGTCTTATGTTGAACTTAGTGTAACAGGAGTGCTCCTTAAATTATCAAACTGTTTCTCAAACATATTTTTAACATTAATGCTTAGATTGACAAATATTTGTTCAAAACATTCTTACTTATTCATTTATATGTGCTAATACTAATTCTATTAAATGTTGAAGGTTTTTACGTTTAATGTTATTTTGTTTTCAATCATGCTATCAAATTCAAATAGACCAAAAATTGCTCGGTACTTGATAGGCATTTAGAATCTTTTAAAATACTACCCATGTCATATTTTTCTGAGTCTTGAAAATAATGATACTATGTTTTTTAAGTTGTTACATTTATATAATAGTTGTTTTTATGCAATCATTTCTTGCTCTGTTAATTATGTTCAAAAATATCCTAATTAAAGTCACCCTAAATGTTTTGTGATTTACTATTTATTTGCCATAGTCTGTTGTTTTTATATTATTATTCTGAGATGGATTAATAAACTTTATTTTTAAGTGATATTTCTAATTTATTTATTAAAATCAGATATAGAATTATAATTTTAAGGATAATTGAATAAATATATTCTTTTTAGGGTCCTCGTTGGTCCGGAATGGTTGTTAAAGATCCATTTAATTTTGCCGAAGGAGTTGTGGTAGTTGCTGTATCAGGTGTTGCATCTTTGGACTCTGTGCAAGGACGGACATATCCTTTAAATACTGATGAAAGTTTAGAAAGCACTTGGCATGCAATCTCGAGTCGTATGGCAGATAGATTTCCGACTGCTGATAACCTGACTCTTAACTATGTTAATCTTAATGATCCCAGTAAAGCTGTAAGTATTTGTGTATGTTTAAGAGTACTGGATAATGTTTAGCATATTATAAAATAAGTAAGTGGAAGTGTGTTGGATGTGCTCGTAAGGACATCACCTCAACGATATTAATCGTTAAACAGCATTGTTTTAAATATAGTCAAAAATGAATGTTGATCTTGCAGTAGTTAAAATTAGTTGGGAATATATATTGGATAATGCACACTTCCCTAGTACTATTTTTGAGCCACTTTTTTCCTTTTTATGTCTATAGTATTATGCTTAAAAATATTTGGTCTGATTAAATAAAAACTTTTTTATCTGAGATACAGCAAAAAATATGTAGTTCACAGATTTTCCAATGTACAAAACATGTATTTTGAAATACTTCTTTTCATAATTCCTAAGTCATTTTCCTCTCTTGTTTATTTTGTAATAAAGTAATAGGTCTATTGATCACCAAACTCTCAGCTTTATTTTCTATTCAGAGTACGTTTTGGCTAAGTGAAACCATTAAATCTTATTTTGAAAAATCATGAATCAGTAATATTCTTTTTTTTATCTTTAATTTTAATAAAATTTTGTAAAACATACAGATAACATAAAAGATGTAGAAGATTCACTCCTTTGCAAAATAAGACATTTGAACCTCTACATTTAGCTGAAACATTGTCTAATTATAAAATAAAGCTGGGCGTTGGGTGAGCTATTGGCCTATTAATTTATTAAAATGCACTTTGTTATAGTTAGTTAATTATTTTTTCATAGTTCTAGTAATATCATTGATTATGAATGCTTAAATGATATTAAATATGGATTTCTGATTGTTGTTAAGATCTTTTGATTCATTTTGTATTGTTTGCCATTTATTTTTTACCCTAAGGTTCTAAAAACCACCTTCTGTTAATTATATGAATAATATAAAGGGAATGATCCAGATTAAATTGAGAATATTATGGTATGTTTGGCTTATAATTTTTGAAGGCCCAATGTAAACCATTAGTATTGTCAATTATTAATTCGGATTTTTTAAAGAATATACTAGTGTCAGCCACTATTAAACAAAGTTAAACAGTATTAATTGGATATTTCAAAACTTTCTTTTGTTTTTGTAGGTTGAAGTGTATGGAACTCTTTCTCAAAGAGATTCTCCAAGTGTGGAATATCTCAAATTATCCTCCCCTGAAGACAAAGCTTTCATTGATCAAATCAATACATTAGATGCCATCACTTCGAAAGTATGTTATTTATGTAACTTTATTGTGATTAATACTGCCTCACCCAATAAATTTTATGCTTCATTTAGAATTATTATTTATGAAATAGTGTATAAAAATTACAAGTTTTAAGCTAAAAATGTTGTTAATTAAAGGAGGTACAGATATTTAGTAAGTGTTAATATATAAACTACATAAACCGGAATTTTAAATAGAAGTGTGTATATTCTATTCTATAGTTGTAGTTTAGCAGAGCTTTCCGATACTATGATACTATTCAAATCTGAAAAAAAATCAAGTAAACTTAAGGTGGTGCTAACAATTTAAAAAGAATTTACAGTTTTGATCAGTCTTCATTATCTGAGTCTCTTTCATTTGCTCTAAATTGTGATTTTTAATTTAAAATGTGTTACTTTAGAAGAAAAATCTTATGTATGTTTTTTATAGTTAAAGTAACAAAAGAGGCTGTTGGTAACTAATATATGGATGTTTCTAGTTAAACCATTGGTAATTTTACTTGCAATAAATATACGAGAGATCTCTTTCTACTCTTCTTGACTAAAAAAAATATTTTAGATATAAAAGAATATTATTATTAACGATTAGTTTCCATATACCGATATTGTTATAATCATCTAACTAACTTTGAAATTAGTGCAAAAATATTTAAATAAATGATTTATTGTCGACTTCTATACTGATAAATAGATAATTAAATGTGTTTTTAGATTGCTGACAAAGGTGTGAATGTTGATGGACTTCCAGATATTCATTGGTTTACTGTACCAGGACTTCATAGTCTTGTAGATATGTACGGAATCACATCAAAACAAGTTCTCGAAGCTAAAAGGCTCATCTCTTCTTCTGTTCTCCTCCTATCAGAAGTATTTACAACAGCGTATGATGATAAGGTATGATTTGTTTTAGATATACATATTAATTATTGATGAAAATTTAATTCAAGATTTAACTCTTTATTCAAATCAAAGTGTGGATGCTTATATGTATATATTACTGTATTTAATACCAATGACACCATTTTCGGAGCTAGTGGGCTCATTATGCGTTATTGTATCACAGTCAGCTATTGGTCTTTCAGATTGGGGGAGCATCTTCGTAGGCGTTAGTGTTGTACAATAAAACATTGACACTCATACAGTAAACTAGCCCACTGTCAATTACAGTACACTTCCTAGGGTCACCCACATATCCTGGACCATTGGAATAATTAATAGTAAAATAAAACATTGGCTTGAATAATTGGTCCATAATTATCTTTATTGTAAATAAAAATTACATATATTTTGTTAAAAATTATGATTTGGCCTGCTAAGCTTCCCTCGTGGTTTTAGGTGGAAACATAGAATGAAGCTTAACTAACAGATATGAATGAAAAGAGAAAAGAATTATATAATAAAAATTATAATGGGCTGTATGATATCAAATAAAACAAAACCTGGACTAAGCATTTATTTTTTTCATAATAAAAAAAATGAAATCAGTTTTACATTTGATTGATTATAAAATAAAATAAGGACTGCTAATAAAACAAAGCTGAAAATATTGAATAAATGAAATGATATTTATCTCTATATAACTCTCTGAAAATTAATCAATCAATCTAAACTAATACTAAAACTAACAAAATATCTCTAATATTAAAGTTATAATTTATATAAAACAAAAAAAAAAAAAAAAATTTTGAGTAACTTTCTATGGCTGTGTAAGTGATCAGTAAAAATGACCGAACATCAGGCAGTCCTGTTTTCTTAAGGTGACTTCATTTAGATAGTTTATGAGCGCCCATATTTTTCTTTAAAACTGCAAGTGGTTAATAAAACAGTGAGTCCGCAGTGAAGGACTATGGCATGCTAAACTGCAAGTGGGCAGTACTGTAGTTGGCAACTCTTTGCCTCGTGTAAAGAACTGAGGCAAATTCCCTAGTTCACGGACTTAACACTTAAAACTTAGCATTTATATATATACAAGGCTATAATGCACTCATAATAATTACTATAATGCACACCACAACAATCGAATCTGTACTATGACTAGCTGTACATTGCCAATTAAAGCAATACAAATATGAAATTATATGTAAACAGCTGCTGATTTCATTTGATTTTTTTTTTAAATTTTAATATTTAAACTTTAAAATGTATTGAAAAAAAAATTATTAATCAAAATAAATTAATTTAAAATAATAAATTAATGCAAAGAGTGTTAAAATGGACATTATTGTAATTGTTTTAATATTTATTAATAAAAATGCATAATGCCCCAATATATTTGTTTTAGGTGATTTTCACTGTATTATCTAGTGATGCCGTTCATACAAGGAGATATCGAAGGCAGGCGGAAGTTTTCACAACTGAATCTGAAGCAACCAAATCTTCCACTTCTGATGCTCCTTTTGTTTCTACTGCTTATCAACCCCCATCTACATCTGCAACTACTCAAGTAATATTTGTTTCTTTTGTTTTTAATTATATCACATTTCATTCTTAATTATCCTGGAATTTGTCAGACCATTTGTATAATAGTTTAGTTCTGTGGGTCTTTAGATGAAGTTTTAAAGTCTCACCCATCACAATAGGGAAGGAAGAAATGGCAATCTCACTGACGCAACCAACCTTAGAATGCAAATGGCAAAAGCTCTTGTCTCGATCCTGTTCTTGTGGGTATTCCTACTTTTTAGTTCTTAAAAGAGGAGTTTGTTGACATGGAATCACCTATTTAAATGAAAATGATTTTAGTGATACTAGGTGAAAAAAGATTAGACCCATGTTCAAGATTTCACGGCAATGAGCCCTTGGAGCCGATATAATGTAAATAGAAATGTTCTAATAATTTCTAGGTATATACTAATATCTCCTATAACTACACATGCTCTCAAATTTAGTCTTAAGAATTGTATTGAACATAAAGAAAATAAGGTTCTGTAGTTATTTTTTTTAAAAAATACTTCAAACCAAAACAATAAAAAAAATTACATTAAATATTAAATCTTCAGTTTTATATATTTTAACTATATTTGTTGTATAAGTATAATATGTGTACAATATTAAAACAATTTGTACTGACCGAGGGAGCAAAGTGGGTTTAAATATTTCTTTTAAAAGAAAAAAAGTTGAGATTTGTATTTTACACCATGAAAAACTTTTTATGCGAAGTTGAATAGTAATAAAAAAAAATTTTTTGTTCAAAATATTCTTTTAGTTTGTGGGCTTTCAATTTTTTTTTTAAATTACAAAACTAATGACGTCAACATGATTTCACCTATCAGAGATTTAGAGACCTATAAACTACATGAATTGGCATAAAACAAAACCCCGCAAACAAATTAGAACTGAATTAATAAAATAAAAATGTTTTGAGAGATTTTTCTTGATTTATATCTTATAAAGGTATAAAATATAAAAGTTTATAAGTGCAATAATTAAGTTTTCCAAAGGTTGTAGTAAGATTGAATTAGGAGATAATCCTGAGAAGTTATAAATGCTTTAGTGAACAGCATGAAAAAAAATAAATCGTACTACAAAATCAAATCCAAAAAGATTTTTTTTAAAATTATTTCAATAGCAATTTGTATTCAAGTTTTAAAGGACGCTAGAAACAAAACTGAATTTGCTTTTTCATGTCCAAAATTGACTTGGCCTATATTACTGGAAGTTTCTTTTGGTTTTTGTAAGTTATTATACATTCAAAATCATTTATCACAATCAGGAAAAAAAGTTTTATTTTACGTAAAAAAAAAAAAAATTGTATATTATAACTCAGATATCCATGCAAAGCAAAGGCTAAAAACATAAACATATATTAAAATTTTATAAAATATTTTATTCTTGTCTCCAAGAGCACGTTGCTAAAAACCCTTCTCAGATATGGGGCTCCCCAAAACAATTTCATTATAATTAGATTCTCTTCCACAAATTTTAGTTTTGATACAATGTATCCAAAATTGGAATAAATCAATGTGTGTAAGCAATCTTTCTTGAGATTACTGGGCTAGATTTTTTTTCAGATTAGCCACCAAAATTACATACAGCTCAAGAAATAACGTTGTATCTCAATATAACTATCAGCAAGTTTTTTTCAAAATGGTAGCTGATTAGAAGTTTCATCTTTCATATCAGCCATTTATGAAGATGGAGGAAAAATCATTATTCCAATCCTTTAATGGCAAAAAAATATTTATAAAACATTGTTAGATTAGGTACCTAAACAAACGACAATGGGCGAGTAACGAAAACCTACAGCTAAACTGTTTAAAGACTGCCTGAAAGTCTTATTATTGAATCAGTCATTTCAAGAATATTATGTTTAATTTTTATTTTGATGATATATTTTAGGGTGGTTGTAAATATATATGGTACTTTTTGTCTAGCCGGGACGGCACTGACTGCTATCTGCTAATGTTTATAACCTGAACATTGATAATTCCCATTACGCATTGATCAGGCTTCTTCTACTTCATATCTTCGTATTATTGTATTAAATTCGTATTATTGAAAGTGTAAACAGATACAAAAACAAATGTAATAACAAAAAAAATACTTTTATTTTACGACATATATTAATGAAATAATAAAAAAACACTTTGAGAAGATATGTACGTATAAAACATCAAAATGGAATGATAAAAAAGCACTTGAAGAACACATGTAGATATAAAAGATGAAAATGAAATAATAAAAAAACATTTAAAGAACATATTTACATAGAAAAGAAATAATATCAACACTATAAACAACATATGTACAATTTATTTTCACTTTGTCTTATTTATTTTGTTAGGTAAAATTGTTTTATGCTATTTAAAATAGCGAGGAACGGGTCCTCTTCTCTGAGCTCCGTAGAATAGTTTCAGCTGTTCTTTCTTTGCCCCACTTCATCATTGTTAAGCTATGTGACTACCCATAAATCAATTTTAAAGCTGTTAAAAACGAAATCCTCGAGCCCTCCAACCATGTTCCTCTCCTTATTGAAAGTTTCGTGTCACAAGTCCTACGACAGCATCTCCATTTGGCGTTCACGGTTAACTTCATTTGATGACCTCGTTCACTCAATTTCACGTCTGCAAGTAACCCAACATTTTGAAAATATTGAATTGCCTGTTCTTCTGAGGACGCCAAATCTCATATTCTAAGAAGATACATAATATGACAAAAATAAACGGAAAAAAAAAAGAAAAATAAACACAAAGGGGCCAAAAGTAAAGAATTTAATAAGTGAACGTAATAAAGGAATAACTGAAAACTAAATAATGCAATAACTCAAAGGTTTTGCGGGATAAGAAGAGGGAGGTTATGTGACATGAGGTTAGATAAGATAGATAAGAAGTGACGTTTCGTGCCGGCCCGCTAGACAAAAAGTACCATATATATTTATGGTATATCTAATGGACTTACACCTACTTTATGTTTTGTATGATTTCACAGTTTATAATTAATATTTCTAAAATATTAACTGCCTCTTGCTATTATTCAAATTGAAGCATGATAATATAAATTTTGCAATGGAATCATAATTTCACCTTTCTGATTAACCATTGTTTAGTATTAATTTTTTAGAGCTCTTTATTAACAAACTAGTATGATATCAAATTGGTTGATTATTTAATCAATTTTTGTATTGACAAAATTGTTGTTGTAGGGTCCCTCTCCTACACCTGATGCTGATGATGATTTTCCAGTTATGTTTAATATTTTCCTATGGACAACTGTAGCCTTTATCCTTGTTCTACTTGCTTGCTCAGGTATTTTATTTTAATGGCATTTATAGGTTAAAATAAAATTTATAAAATTCTCAAGAGGATAACAAAAAATCATGTAAATCTGACCAATATTAGCAAACATACTAAAAAATATATCCTTATTGGACTTATGTTAATGAAAATATAGCAAATACTTTTCCTACTGAACTTTGCACTACTCAGAGAGGTAAGAAAAGTCATGTGAGTTTAAACATCAGATATTTTCTTCTTACTTGGAACTGAACCTTCACACTCGGCTGTGTAACATTCATTCGGGTCAACTAATTTTTGTATTTAGATTAAAATATCGTAGAAACTAAAAAATCATACCTGCAATATAAGCTAGGAAAATTTTCAGTATTTCATCCTCTTTATAATAAGCTATAATTCAAAATGGTATTTTGACACGATGCTGTCCTAGACAGTTGGAAAGGGAAAACAATAATGCTATAAAAACAAATCATTTTTGAACATTTGGACTAAATTATCTCAAAATTTAAATTCAGTGGAGAATTCAGAAACCGATTTGCAGAAGTCAATATAGATATTTTTTTTAATTAGCCAAAAAAATAAGGAATAAGAAATCATGTGTTGCTATTCGATTTCCTGTTGCACGCAATAGTGTTACAACAAATTACTGACCCCGTTACTGAAGTTTTATAAAAAAAAAATAGTACCAATACTGTATAACTAATAACTTTATTACGCTAATATCAATCAAAGGTATTCATCACTTATTTTAGTTATCATTAACATATTGTTTAATGTTTAGGGTGTGATACCAATGACGATCCGTCAGAGCAAAGTTTACCAGAGCAATTTATACAAAATTGTAATTGTATATATTGTGAATATAGAATTAAAAAAATATGTATATATATTTTGTATTATAAATCCTTATAATACAAAATGTTGATGTTTTCACTTATATTTTGTGATCTTAAGGTCACACCTTAATTTTTTTCTATTAAATTTTTAGATTATCCTCACTATTTAATATCGAATAAATAATTAGACATTTTTTTTTTCTTAAAGTAAACCCATTATCTTTCTCTTTAACTGTACATTTAAAATTGTATTAATCATAAATATTTTGTAATATTTTTTTTCATGGAACTTCATTTATATTTATTTTTCAGTCGGCATCGCCCAAATGGATCCTGGAAGAGATTCAATTATTTACAGAATGACAAGCAACCGAATGAAGAAGGATCAGTAAATTTTGAATTTATTGATATTTTTTTTGCCAATGTTTCATGCACACTGATCATTAAAACATTACCTGTGATTTTTAAAAATATATCTTAAGTGTGAGATTTCATTTAAAATATTATTAAAAACTATCATGATTCATTATTGTTTGGAAACAGGCCCCAAAATAATATTAAAGCTGAACCAATTCCAATTAAAAATATGATTAAAGATAAGAGGTAACATTGTTAAATAATTAAGATAACTGTTCTTAGTTGTACTTACTTGTAAATTTTGTGTATATGTGTTGTTTTGTACAGATATACTTTAACATTCCTTTCATTGTAAAATTATATATTAAAAACAAAAATGTGTATAATAAGTACACAAATTTCATCACTAAAATGCATCAATTGGATCAGTATCGAGTCAAAGAGGTATTGTACAATTATAATTAGCAGTCACTGGAAATTAGTTGAGATTTCATTAGTACCAATTTAAATATTTATGACCATTGATTTGGGAATAAATTATTATATAGAAGACTTTAAAGTAGGTTATGGATGTATTGCTGTAATTAGGATTTGCCAAGCACTTGCACGGTATAAGTTTGTAAAAACTAAATGAATGTTTAATAAAACAACAAAAATTATTAAAAAAAAAAAAGTAAAAATGATTTTAATTTATGATATTATTAAGTCAGGTTTCAATTACGTTAATCTATAAGATGTTTATTTTATTTGAGTTCAATGAAGTTGTAAAGTGTGGGATAATTTTATTTAGAATAAGTTGGAGGATTATAATAGATGATTTCTAATTATAAATATTTATTATTTTGAATTAAAATACCTTAGATGAAAGTATCTAAGCTGGCAACTATCAATTAAGTATTTGAATTTTATGATTTAAATGAATATATAAAAAAAAAATTCTGGTTAATTCTTAATTATAATTATTAAATTTCTTAATTTTAAACTTATGGATTTGGATAATTCTCTTTTCTTCCAACAGTATTGTTATTAATAATAAACTGTTTTCTTTTTCAGAACTTTTTTTTTCCCTTACATTATTAAAAATTAGATTGTGAGTCTGTTATTTGATAACCGGTATCGATACTTAAAGGGATCCTCAAGGGCCAAATATAAATAAATAATGTGAATATGATAAGAAATGTGGGTAATAGAGAGTTGAACTTGTAAAAGATGAAGAAAACAAAAAAAAAAAAAAAAAAACCAAACCAGAATAGATGAATTATGAATAAAAATCATATTTTTTTTCACATTTAGTCTTAACTTAAGCTATATCCTGACTGAGGGAATCTTTCCATATTTGCATTTGTGTTAAATACTCTTTGATAGCTCTAAATAGTCTTTTATATCTATTCAGTTTATTATTCAGGATAGATTTGTTTTGCTTCTTATTTATATATCCTTCTAGCTAGCAGCCTCATATCGCTTTTTACCACCAATATTACGGATTCACTTTTTATTAAAATTAATTTAGTGGTCGCCCAATGTTCAAATTGTTTCAATAATTCCTTGAGAGTGATGACTTGTCTCAATAAAGGTTTTAATCACTGAGGAACAAAAATCTAAATACAGTGCAAATAGTAATAACATGTGTTTTTAAATAACTCCAAAAATACTAGAACATGTTAAAAATAATATTCTTGTTTATTCAGATATTTCCAAGGAATTTCCTTTTTCTTTCTCTCCCTGAATGAAAGGAGTTTATAACCTAGGGGGGTCAGAGCACATCATATAATTCTTTATGACAATGCCATTTAAAGGAATGAGGTTAAACATGAGAAGGATTCTTTATTTATTTATTTATTCTAGCTTATTACGACTTGGTCCCCTGGCGATAATAATAATAATAAAAGGCTAAGCAAATCCGAAGGTTTGATGCCGACACCACGATTTGCTCTCTACACATCTCTCTCCACCAGTCGCCATCCAAACTCTCCCCCCTCCCGATCAGCTTTAATGCAATCTTACTATCTTCACTTAGTTCTATCCCTAGGACGATTGTCAGTACAGCGCATATTAACCTTCTTTCTTTACTGAGCCCAATAATTTTACACATTCATTTATTCGCCACATTGTAATTACTTGAATTATATTAACCGGGAACAGTTCATGCAATTCGCCATTGTGTAACCCTCTAAATTCTCTGGTTGACTCATCCTTCGATATCTTAAGTTCAACTAAGCTTTCAGCCATCAAAAGGTAGCATAAAAAATAGTAATTATTATCAGTTATTTATATAACTCATGAATATAACCAGTGAACCATTATTAATTTTATGCTCCAAGATTTATACCAATATTTAGCAGGCATAGGGGAATAATAATAGTACGGTTTCTACCATGGTGTTTTAGTAATGATTGATCGATTTTAACTTTCTGTCTAGGTTAATCCCCATGTACTAACTTGTTTGCGTGGCTCTACAATCCAGTGTGGAATCCTGGCCTCCTCCAGCAGCTTCCGTCAATTGTCTTGGTCCCCTGCAGCCACCATCCCATTCCAAAGCCCCAGCATATTTGTTGCATCAGCAGCAACACCGTCAGCCCATCACAGCTTTGGTCTTCCTCTTCTCCTGGTACCATGGAGTAGCTCCATCAGTAATTGTCTTGGTGGATCCTCGCTGCCCATCCTAACAACATGTCTTGCCCATCTCAGTCTTGCAATTTTCATCACTTGAACTATATCGGACTCCTTAAACATGGCGTACAGCTCCTGATTTTTCCTCCTTTTTCATTCTCCTCCTATGGAAACACCACCATATATGCGTCTGAGGATTCTTTCAAAAACTAGGAGTTCCTGTTCACAAGCCCGGGTGGCAGTCCAAGTCTCACAGCCATACAGCAAGACTGGACGCACTGTCGCCTTATAAAGACAAAGCTTCGATTTTCTAGAAAGAGTTCTACTCTGGAACTGCGTTGGCATTGAAAAATAGCACCGATTTGCTGCTATGATCCTACTCCGAATCTCTTGTTCAGGTGCGTTGTCTTGAGTTACCAATGAGACAAGATATATAAAAACATAAGTCTTCTCGAATTGGTACTCCCCGAAAGTAACCTCCTCTCCAGGCCTAGGCATCTCTCCTGTAACCATATATTTTGTTTTTTCAGCATTGAATCCCAAGCCAAGTCTTCTCGTAGGACCCACCAGAGCTAGGAAAGCATCCGATACAGCCTGGAAGGAACGTCCTATGATATCTATATCTATACCTTGTACACAAGGAGCTGTACAGATTTATTAAAGATGTTGCCATTGGTCTGTATCTCAGCATCTCTCTGGCGTAATCCCTTTATTGAAGGGAATTCCTCCGATCTCTCTCCACCAATCTGAACCATGCAGATCATGTTGTTCATTGTAAGCTTCACGAGGCTTATGAGCTTGCTAGGGATCTTAAAGTGCTTTAGGGTCTCATACAAATTTTCCTGTATTCACGCAATCATAAGCTGCTCTAAAATCGATGAAGATGTGGTGAGTTTTAATCTTGAATTCTCTTCATCGCTCGAGAATCATCTTGAGGCAGGAATATCTGATCGGTCGCGGACCTGCCTTTTCTGAATCCGCACTGGTATTGGCCGCATGTGGTAGCAAATGTTTGAAGAGTATGTTGTACCAGGTGTACTGATAACCATTACAGTGTAGTCTCTTTAGTGCAGCCTTTTGATATTCCAACACTTAGATGTGAATATGTAAACAAGTATCTGAAGGCATCGTCATGTCTAAAAGAGCTGGAGGCTGTACTTTATTGTATATTCTGTTTAGAATATGTTTTTTTTTTTTTTTGTTACTAGAATTTTCCATACCATCAGTCAATATTATGAAGATGAATACTTGAATGCACGTATTTTGTGACAATGATGAATTCCTCAGGTTTGTTCGATGTTAATATTTTTTATATGGATTATCATTACTATAAGAATTTTACAAAAATAGAAAATTTTCTATAGATTTTTATAGACATGGCATCCTATAATTATATGCTTGAGGGCTTCTTTCTTGTTCCATTTATCACATTTAGAAGAACTTCCAGAACTTAGAAGTCCACTGTGCTGTATGTATAGTTTGCATGAATCATTAACCAAAGTATAGGAAAAATTGATAGAGGGATGGATTAGCAAGATTTTACTGTATTTGTTGTCAAAGACACCAATCTCTGCCCAAGATAATTTATTCAGAAGACCCATATTGGACAAACCAACATCGGTCTTATAGAAATATGGATGGTACAGATTGCTTATAAACAAAAGAAGGATATAATTTTGACAAAGGTAAGTAATTATTTCTACACTTTGACACAATTTCTTTAAGTTTGTGGTTAGTTAAGAAAAACCTAGGAGTCAGTGTATGAGAACTTTTTCAGAAAATCAGTTATATAGACTGAAGAGTAAGCAGGACAAATTAAATAAATGATTAATTTACCAAACATAAAAAAAAAACAGTATAAAAAAACAGTTTAAGATTCATGATTAATTTTTTTTAAACCCAAATTATTAATAGACTGCTCTGAATGAAAATAATTATAAAATTAAACAGATATGGTTTAATGTTTTTGTAATCAATGTCAAGAAAAAATTAACCTCCCACTCAAAATTTGAGACTTGAGGTTTCAAGTTATGTAGAATCCACAAATTGATTTTAAAAAATCTATGTGATCACCATCTGTAACTTTTCTCCAAATTACTTGGCCAATTTTTGTCAGATATGACACCACAATCACTTATCACCCCCGGATGTTGCTCAGAAAAAAAAAAACTACAGGGCCTCATGCCATGAAGGGTCTTAGGTTCAGCACTAGGGGATCCAGGATTTAATTTTGAGGGTACTTCAGCCCGAAAGATTTTTTTTTATATACATAACAATTAATTTTAAAAAAAGAAGAAAGAAATGAATTACCAATATGAAATGGTGTTTAAGTGATTCTTGAAGTCCTATCAAATGTAATTACATGTACAATAATAAATTAAGAGATAGTTTTTAATATTTTTTTCTATAAAACATGGTTATATTTTACCGGTTTGGGGGGAAGGGGAGGGCTTCAGCCCGAATTCCGCCTGTGGGGTTCAGTACTGTTTCGTTGTTAATGGTTATGCAAGTTGATAATTGACTGAGATCATGCTTGACCGCCAGGTTTTCTCCCTTAATCAATTATTTAATTAAGAATACCCACATTAAAGAGGCCGAGTATGCCGCAGGAGGGTCTCCCGACCCCAAGCCGATGAAACAGAATAAATAATTTATCTGCCATTAGTCGGTATTCGAATCTGAGACCTTGAGCATTAGAAGCTCAGCGCCCTCTCTACCAGTGACCAACCCCACTTCCCCAAACTACACAATAGAATCTACCATTTAATTTCAAATTAAGAAGTTTCCTTTGTCCAAACCTTGGCTTTCATGCAGAAGAAAACTATAATTATGGAAAGACTGCAATATGTTGTAATCTTCAATGCTTTTGATTTTTTTAAATTTAATTAATGTAAGATCTCTTTTATCTGGAAACAAAACATAATTTTCTAATATTGCAACATATTACTCCGCAAGCATTAAGTGTTTGGGAATCATACACCAAAGCTTTAAAAAACGAAATAAAATAAATTCAATGAAACAAAATTTTCATTTTTCTGTTTTATACATAATCATTTGGATCTAAGTTATGATGAAATAAGAAATTATTTTTAATGATGATTAATCCTGGTCTTACACTTACTGTTGTACTAAATTTTGATAATGTACGATTCTCATAATAATTGTTTAAATTAAACAACTAAACAGTGAAAACACTTGGATGAAAAAAAAAAAGCTGATTTTAATATTAATTTAATATTTATTTTTATATTATATATATTATTTAGATATATATAAATTGAAATATATTTTACAGAAGTAAATCTCGTGTGCTCAATATATTACAAAAATAAATAATTTATTAAAAACTATTCTACACCTATGGATATTGTATAAAAGGCACTAGTGCTAAAGACTGTGTATGGAAGGCATTGATACATAATATAATCTCCATTTGTGAGGAAAATATAAATAAAAAAAAGTGATTATTGCAGAAAAGAGTAATATCTCAAAAAAATGAGTATTGTAGTAAAGAAATTGTATTAAAAGGTAAATCTGTAAACTTATTGATTGCGTGCTACTCCTATCTATGTAATGTATATATTAATATATATATATATACGTAAGTATACATATATATTTATTTCTATATATAATCTGGAAACATAAATATTTATTTGCTTTGGTATCCTGATCTGCATATACTAGTAAAAAAAATAAAATAAAGAAATATTAAGGCACAAATGTGCAACATATCACATTGAAATATCGAAACATTTCTTAAAATTTAGTAATTTGGTATCCAATTTAAAAATAATGATTTGTACATGTAAAATATTCACAAATAGCGCATTGATAATAGACAATGCCCTTTGAAAAGCATTATGTTACAATCAATTAAAGCACAATTTCTATGTCTGTTATACATATTTTAATACTATGTCACTTCATTTAAAGTAAAATATACAATCAATAATATATAAAATATCTTTTAGTTCATCAATTATAACAATATATACATGTTCATCTGTTTTTTTTTAATATACAGATATGTAATAATTCAATTAAATAAAAAAACAACAAAATAGTACACGGATTGTCATTATGTTTTAAAACTACTTAAAACAATAACAAGTAAATATATACAAATTAAAACAATATTCGACTAACTATTATTTATAATAAATACAACTATACTTTATTTTCAACATGAAAAATAATTACATACTTTTAATGGCTTTTGAACTTAAATATAATTTACATTGAACATACTGACTATATATATATATTTTCTTAAAATTGGAAAAACAATTAATTCAATTGAAAACTTGAGCAAGTTATTATCACTCGGTTCTAGTTACTCCTTCAGAATTTTGGGAAGGGTGAGATTCTTTAGAAATATTATTGTTAATATTTATTTCATCACAGTTCATTTTCACTAAACTATTATCAACAGCATTTGTCTTTTCTCCTGTTTTTGCTGAGTTTGTATGATTTTCTCTGACCTCAACACTTTTCAATATTTGAGAGGGTGCTTCTGTAGTTTGCGGTACAACTTTTGAGGCTTCAGACACTGATAGATGTGCTTTATTGTCATCTTTAGGGGAAGGAGGAGGAGGTGTACACTTGCTGTTGTCACTAGGACTTGGCAAGGGTAATGGTTTCTTTTCATCACTTATTTTTGGAGGTGGGGGAGTTTCCGTTTTAGATGGTGGTATCCTCTGAACAGCAGGAGTTTGTTCAGGCTTAAATGTATCCTGGGGACGTGGCAAGGTGTGTATTGGATTAAACAACATTCCTATTGAAGGGTTGAGAGAAGGATGATAGGCACACATAGATCGTATAAGTTCTGGAGAGAGCATCCTGTTTGGGTCAGGAGAGAAACCAGGGTAACCACTATATAAAAGGTGATAAGGATTAGGGGAGATAAAACTAGCAGAGTGGGCAGGGCTAGGAGGCATGCGAGGGCTCAAATAAGGTTTAGGATCACTGAAAGTAGGAGGCTGCTTGGACAATTTTGGAGACCCTGGAGTGTAAGGTGGGGGTTGTTTTGTAGGAGATCTTGGTATCGAACTAGTTGGTATTGTTTTAGGGTCCACTTTCATAAGCGTAAGTTTTTGTTTTTGCTGAGAAGAAATAGGTTCTTCAGGACACGCATACAAAGGCTTGACACCAGATGCTGGATTTCCTAGAAACCTAGGCATATTCCTCATTTTGAAAAATCTAGCTGGTTTAGATTGGTCTGAGTTTTGTTTCATCAACACCGTAGACCTATCAATACTAGGGTTCCACTGCTTGGTTGGGGATTTCAAAGTTTTATACTTAGCAGTTGGTTGAGGTTTTTCTTTACTGACTGCAACACCAGGATTGGGTAGACCAGAGTTAGGTTTTGGTCCTGGATATAATTTGGTTGGGTTATTTGTATTTGTAACAGGTCTTATTGTAACAGAGGTGTTCCCAATAACTCTTTCATTCGGACTCAATTTGTTGACTATTTTATTTAAAACATCACCTTTTTCTTTCATTCCACCAGGTGGAACTCTACTGATACTTAACTTATTAACTTCAATCACACTATTTGCCTTCCTAACTTGATCTTTACTTACTTTACTCACACTGACTATTGGCTCTGTCGGGGGTCTGGGAGTTGACATTATAGGATAACTGGTTTGGACAATATTAGTAGTCGGTTTCATTGCAGCCATAGTTGTTGTCACACTGACTGTACATGGTTCTAAAGAGTGCGAAGGCAATGGTAATGTTCCTGAGACTGTTTTTGTTGCCATTGCCATACTTAAAGGAGGTGTTGATGTAGTAGGCTGATTAATAGTCAATGGAGCAACAACAGTTAGGTCAGAAGTAGTTACCGAAGTTGGAAACATGACACAGGGTGCCTTAACTTCACTAGTTGTAGTAACTAATGATAAGGATGAAGGAACTGCAACAGGTGATGGAGCAGTAGAATTAACAGACAATGTTGTACTAGTAGCTGAAGAAGTAATCGGGACAGGAAAAGCACCTACTTCACTGTTACCTGGGAGAAGACAATTCATTAATGGTGGAGCTCCATTTGAAGAAGTAACAACAGCAGAAACTGGTGCTACTACACTACGAGATGAAACCGCAGTGGCAATCTCTGGAGGAGTAATGGAAGTTAATCCTTGGCTGACGATAGTGTTAGACACACTTGTCATGCAAAGATGGTTCATGTTCTTTGATGGAGGCAAGAGAGATGGACTGCAAATAGGAGGTGCCTCTAAGCCAGGTATTGGAGAGCACTCACTGTTTTCAACATTACGCACGCTCATCACTCCATTCTCACTTATTTGTAACTGCACTTCTTTCCATTCACTTTCTACCAGCAGCTTTTCCTCTTTGTTACTTTCTTTCTTGGGTTCTTTTGCAATTATTCTTATTGTCTTCTTTTTTAATTCTAATATTCTGTAGGTTAGATGAATAGGGATTTTCTGAAAAAAATAAAAATAAAATTAGATGGAATTTACCACAAATTCCATTTTGTTTACTATTAACATTCCTAAAACACAATCAACTCATTGAGTAATTCAGTTAATGACTAAATAATTTAAAAAAATATATTAGTAATTTTCTAAACAAAACAAATTTGAAAAGTTGCATGTTTCTGAGATATTGTTATTAATTTAACATGAATTACTAAAGTAATAGCATGTTATAACAGCCTGCTCCAAACATATTACTTTAAAAAATTGACAGATAAAAAGAAAGAAAGTTAAATATCAATCATAAATAATTATGATATGAAACATACCATCAATAAATCAAAGATATACCATGTAATAGAAATTAAGAATTGTATCAATCTATCACATATACAAAAAAGTACTTATTTGCTGGTACTTCTCCCTGCAGTGGATGGTAATGAATGCCCACAGTTGAGAACTCCTTTGAGGGGATATAACAGAGCATATTTCATTGGCACTGCTCTGCAGTCTGGGAATGACATCTCTATACTACTTCATTCCAACTGCACCAGAAGCAGAGAAGCTGTTGTCAGTACAACAGTTCTAGGTTATATTACGATATCGGAAAAGAGATTTGATGATAACAGTCGTGGTGTTACTATGTCTTATTTCCTTTTTAATTTTACTTATCTATATCTGATATATAGTAAGGGAGACTATTGTGATAGTGGCATTTTTTTAATCTGAGTTTTCAATGGTTATAAATATTTTAAGGTCCCCTGAGTCCAGATAACCAAGTCCCGCGAAATGGTCTGTTTATGTGTATGTATCTGAACAGTCTAGTCCAAAAACGAAAAGTCCTACGCAACTGAAATTGCATATTTAAGGTTTGTACATGCCTGGCATGTACTTTTTCTTTAAAATCGGCTAATCGGAAGTACCACTTCATATGATTGATTTTACATATTTTTACAATTTTCTCAAAAACGGCTTCAAGGATTTTGATTTAAATTCATTTTATTAGTGCACAATTAAGCGGTTTTCAATATAATGTAGGTCTCATTCTTATTGATGTTTTTCAACAGTGTTTAAAAGTCTAATTTACAAAATGTCTTCCTCTAAAATACCTTTAATTTTTTTTATTTGAAATAATTAACTATTCCACATTGAGAAATGATATAAAAATGGTTAAATATAATGAATGAAAAAAATTGATCGGTAACTAAAGGAGAAATAGGGATTGGAAGCTATACGGAAACAGTTGAGACCACCCGACCTTTACCAATCCTCTCTGTTAACAGAAACCTCTTTGTATACAGCTTTCATATTGTTAATTTAACTTTTATATATCTTTTATCCACAATTTTTTAAAAAGATTTTCATGCAAAATGTTGAGGATCTACTAATATAAATTTAATAATATAGAATTTTGTGATAAATATTTCCAATAAAACTCAGAACTTTTCTACAGATCCATTTTTCTCAACTATCATTAATATTGTTTGATAATACTATACACAGTGGTAAAAGGAAATGAAAAGTGATATAAATGTATAAATTTAACAGATTCGATGGGCGTAAAAAAACATAGTAATTAATTGTTGTAGATGAAGTTATACCCCATTTTCACTTTGACTTCCCTATATATGAATATACCTATCTAAGATAGGTAAGTAAAAGTTATGAGATACGGGCACTGCATTATTTTTTAAGTCAAACAAAATTAAATGAAATTTTTCTAAAAAATTAAACAATACTAGTGAATCATTTAAAGATATTAAACTAAGACATTTAGTTAATATGAGGAGTGGGCTGCTGCATTGAGCAGTTTCAGCAAAATACACAAGCATTGTTGGATGGCAGTAGTGTGCTTTGGTGGATAGTACCAATGAAATTGTACCTTAAGTTATAGTCCAAACATTATTTGTTACCATTAGGTTTACAATAAATCATTTTTACAAAAAAAAATCAAATGAAGAAAAATAATAATGTGCACGATAGTCAAATGCACTAGACTGCAATGATTAATTTAATTATTTCTAGCAGAAGTTAACCCTTTTTTTTATTAAGAGTCATAAGAGAAATGAAAATCTGTTTTATTATCATTAATGGCATAAGTATATCTGCATCACTGACAAGCAACATAGGAAGAAAACTTTGTTTAACTACAAGAGATATTTTATCTTTACATCAATAGTTTAATAAGTCTTCTATAACCAAGGTTTATCACAAACAGGTAGAACTTGGAAGGAAATCAATGACGAAATGAAGAATTTGAGGATACGATCAAACAATTAGAACCAATATATGTTACTTAAGTTCAATTCCAGTTCTTCAAAACCTAAGTGTCTCGATTAAATAAGATGCCCCCAACAAGGAAAGGGGTGGATTTGAAAATCCTGAGCTTGGGTGTGGAAAGAGCAATCAATGCTTAGAAAAGGAACTGTTATTCAAAAGCTCAAGCTTAAGTTGACAAACAAATTGGAGAGCTATCCATTAAAAGTCCGCAAAGGATTAAAATTTAGATTATATTTCCAGTTACTGATTTAAAACAAAAATTTAAAGCATATTAAAACAAATGTATTTATTTAATTTATTCAAATAAACATTTAATCAATCAAAATTACTTTCTACTTTTGATAAAACTTGAAACTTTGAAATGGTGTGCGCAGCACTGCCGTTGTCCGGCAACCTGATATATGACTCAAATGATATAAAAATAGTCACGAGTTAGCGTCCTAGCACAGAGGAGTCTTTTATATCCCCATCCACACCTCCTGGCCTAGGAAAACACTGTATAGCCTTAACGGCAAGGAAGGGGAGGACATAAAAAAATAAAGGTCAACGCACTGTCATTTAATTTTAATAACGATTCGTAACACTTCTTTGACAAGCAAAGATTTTTTTTAAAGCAAACTGAACAATTTTTAGATGTAAAATTTTAATTTAATAAAAAAAACATGAATGGTAGATAAATTAACTTTCAATATAATGTCCTCATTAAAAAATAAAATGGTTTAAAATACTGATTTATTTTTAGATAACAAATTTTGTATTGATTCGGCACTGATATCTATATTTATATTCATAGTTATGTGATTGCAAACATCCCAGCTGAATACCATAACTGGTGTGTATTTGATTGTTGATGATTTCAAAAGAACAAGGCAGCGGAAAAATGAGAATAGTATTAAGCAAACACCATCAAATCATATAGTAAACAGTTGAATGATAAATGACATGTTTGTTTTGATTTCACCGTAAATGTGTAAATTTGAGTAACAATTTATATGAAAAAAATCTGGTGCGGTGCGCGTCAAACACATCTTTCACTTACCACCCTTTTCTTAGCAGAAATAAGTATTTTCAGACAAAGAGAAGTCAAAATAAAAATTAAAGGCATTACAAAATATTATTTAAAACAATTAATTACCAAATGTTTTTTTAAAAGCGTCGAATGTATTAATTTTTTTTTTTGCCACTAACCATTTCCTCTTACGATTTTATATTTGAATTATTGATTTAAAAATAATAAATAATTAAGTGCCTCAAAATATTTTTCAACAGGAGTCCCATTATATTTATTTATACTTTATTGCGGGTATTTTTATTCATTAAACCACCGGTATAATTAGAAATTTAACTGTTATATGTACAATTATATATTCAATAATACCAACGCAAGAATTTAGAAAAACCATATATTTATATGTATATGATATCATTGGAGGCCATATCATATTAAGCACGTGTTATATATTTTAACCAATCGATCCATCTCGGATGCACACCCACAGAGCGTACTCACGTTTCTTAGGTCTCTCTATTACTTGTATTCTCCTTCATGGTCCCTAATTTCTCCTTTAAACAATTCTTTCATATTTTATATGCCACCATTTTTTATACCAGGTCACAATGTAAAACTGTTAATTATTTCAATAAAGAACATTATAGGTACTTTAGAGGAAGAAATTTTGAAAATTAGATATATAAGCCCAGTTAGAGAACATCAATGAGAATAAGACTTACATCTTATTAAAAACTGCTAAATTTTACAATGACGTAATGAATTTAATTTAAAAATTTTCAGAATCGCAATAATTTATAAAATATAGGTAAGTGAAAGCAACAAGAATTAATAAAAAATGGAAATTCATAAATTGACAAATCCTTAGCAGTGTCATGTTGAGTTTATAGATCCGCAAGATCACATTGCTTATCATATTAGATATTTAATATAATTTAAGCGTTTTGAGTATGGTGTCGGTTCACCTAGTTATTTATGAATTGGAAGATTAAGAGATAGATGGCTGGTCCAAATGCTGTCATACACAAACACAGCTAGTTTAGGTATTTTGCAAACAGTGATCAGGGTGATTTTGTCACACCTATCCTGACATGACACTGCTATAGGTTTACCAATAATTTTTTTGATCAAAACATTACACTTCTTTTTTTTTGTTATAAATGTGAAAGCTTAACCTAAGTAATCCAGCATTTTAAAAGTACGGGGAATTTTCCTTAAATTTGCTATATTCTTGTGGGTAAGGTACAGTTACAAATAAAGTAATGGACAGTTTAATAAACCAATCAGTGCCCATCCAAATAGTAGACTGAAAAATGAATGAGCTAAGATTGACCTGGTAGATTAGGATTTCAATGGGATTCACTGAAAGTAGGTAAACAGACAACAATTTTTAGTAATGTAACTAATGAACCTTTGGGACTGCTTTGCCTTGTTTTAATAATTTTAAGTAAATAGAAACACACAACAGGTAATGTTTAATTGAAATTATCAACTTTGCAAACAGTCGTCTTATATAATTAACATATAATTAAATATACATACCCTACGGCACTGGTAAGTATAAGCAATGTCCATGAGAGTGATGTGTTCCATCAGAGGATCATCTTTATAAAATATATTAACTTGATGTCCAGAATGTAAACCAAATTTCCCTCTTATCAACTTTATAAGATGAGATATTGTTAAAGCAGCTGGGCAATGCAGATACCTTTTATTCACCTACAGATCAAAATAGTTTAGTTGAAGTTGCACGACAAAAAAAAAAAAAAAATCCAAAATACGATATAGAAATTATAAGAACTTTGAAATACCTGATGGTTAGATTGAACATTATGATACTCCAGGCATATTATAAGTAGCTCATCAGGAAATAATACCAATGTATTATCTGAGACTTCACCTCTTTGTTCAGGATTGGCAGGTAAAGCCTCGGGATGTTTCTGATAAAATTCAACTCTTCTTTGCATTTCATCTAGATAAAAATAATATGTAAATTTTAAAAAACAAACAAAACAATAACTGACACATTTAATAACAAATTAATCAGTTCTTACTTTTGAACAGTGACGGTACTAATTTATACACAATATTTTGAAGAGTTTTGTCTGTTCTTATATTCAGAAGTGGGTTTGTTTTATGTATCTGCACATCACAGATGGGGCAGTATTTGTTTTTTTCCAAATACTTAACAATACAACTCTTGCAAACTGAAATAAAAGTGACAAACTTAAAATTTGAATGTTTACAGAAAACTGATTATTTCTTATAGGAACTTATAAAGCATTACTAACATGAATGAAGGCACTCGATTACTGTAGTAGCATCAATATAATAACCACCACACAAAACACATATCAGATGAGGGTTTACGTCTGTTATTTTTAATCTTTTTGGGCTATGCATTTTGATAAATGCAATCACTTGCATAAACATCCAGGTTCTGAAAATTTTATTAATACATCTATTTTGATTTATGTTTCAAAGATGTTATTGAATTGCAATAAATCTTAAAATACTTACGAAATCTCTTGACATATATAAGTCTGGAACTCCAAACTGCAATGTTATTAGTGTTAGAACACAGAGTTCTATACACTGTTTCCATCTTTGTAGATGTCATCAAATAGTTCTGAATTGCAATGAATCCATTATAAAATCCTACAAATGATTACAAATTAACAAAACGATAGGACCTATACAAAATTTGAATAAGTACATTACAATTGTATGTCCAATTCAAAAATTAGCATTACTCTATCATAACAACAATTACTCTATCATGACCGATTGCCCTATTTAAAAAAGCACACTGAAAATTATTTTTACTCTTATATATGTACTTAGAAAACACAGACGTCCAAATAAATAAATAGGTTAATCCAACACAACACTGACCTCAAACTTGTTCCACTTTATATTTTCCCAACCTTTCATTCTTGTAATTTGTAAGCATCTTCAATGATTTTTAAATGATTAAATTTTTTATCTTGTAAACATTTTTCAAATTCAAACCTTGTTGCTCGAACATAAACACAGCACTTTAAGCGTTTTCAATTATACAGCCTCATAACCTTGTTAACAGTTCGCCTTCAAAGTTCCGATTTTACCCTACACGCGTCGTTAGTTACACATTTACTGCAATCTGATGGGTGTCACCAACTTTTGCATATCCAAAAACTTATTTGCCGGATTAAAAACTAATCTGTGGTGTTTGAATTACTTCAGTCCATAAGTAGTAATGGAATTGTCGAATGAAATAAGTTTTGGTCTCAAACGTCTAGCCAATACGTCTATTGTTAATGATGAATACTTCGATAAACTTATTGTTGAAATTTCGCTGTACTTGGAAAATCCTCTTAGTAATCAGCATACTGTAGGTAAATATAAGAAATAACTGGTCAATTACGTGCTATTAAATTGTATTTCTTCTAAATTGGTCGTTAATAATTTTTATGCGTAGGAATTCCTAATACAGCACCCAGGATAGACGCTTTAAAAGAAAGTTATGCTGCCCTAGTTGTATTTTTTATTGAAAGTATGCGAAGAAATATCGATATTGAAAGTTTAAAGAGTGTTTTGTCAGGACATAAATTAAATGATAGGAGAACTGAAAGGATTTTAGAGTTGTATGTTAAACATAAGAATGGGATGCAGAATGCTCTTCAACAATTTAATTCTGATCCACCTAATTTACTTGGAGTTTCTTGGAAACTCAACTATTGTGTGAAAGTATGTTTTTCTATTTTTGTATCTAAGTTTTGAACTTTTCATATTTTTCATGACTGATTATTATTTTTAATTTTTACAGTCTTCGTTTTCGGATTTCGAAGGGAAGTGTCTTTATTTCATTGAATTACAAGTGGATAAAAAGAATCATGTTTCAGAAACGAAAGATTGTGATGTTATCAAATTTGCTTGTACAGTTCAACAACTTCAAAGTTTAGTCGCTTCGTTAAGAGCTGCTGTACGACAATTGGAATCTATATCTAATGTTTCAAAATAATTTAAAATTTAAATACTGAAGTGTTCCTTCAATTATGACTTATCTGTGATTTTTAGATTGTAAATAATAAGTATCACTTAATATATTTTAATATTTATAATAAAATAGAAATACTATTCATTTTGTTTTTTATCTATGAGAACTTTTATAACCACTATTGTACTTTACTCTAAATAGGATGTAACTGACTACTCGAGGCCTCTAACAGTTTCTAATAAATTGCCTCCTTTTTTTTTATCTGTGGAATGACGTATATTTGTGTTGCTACATTGTAATTGTACTTTTTGTTTGTATGACATTGTAATAGTAATATTATAGAAGTCTTCCTGATCTAGGTTGTCCTGACATTCTGATTGCGACGCTTATCGATGGCAATCATAACAAGAAACCAAGATCCCACACAAGCCTCATTAACATTATGGCATCACTTACCAAAACATTAGCACAAGTTATGAACTGTGACAGATGACAACACAACATACACATTAAAACATATAATGTGCTCTTCCATATACCTCAATAATATATTATTACTGTAAACACATTATCTAAACCATCTAGGACTAAAATTTGCTAGGAAACTACTTGAAGGTCACATATTAAGAAAAAAATATGAGGTGGAATTTTCAGCTTATTATTTATTTTGTTTTCTCTTCATTTACTTATAGACAGATTAGCTCTGCTTCTCTTATCAGAGTCTTTGCAAGTTTCGTAATGTCCTCTTGACTCCTTTTAAGAACTGCCATATCATCTGCATATCCAAGGATTTTAAGATTATTTCTGACATGCACCCCGCTATTTTCACGTGATGTTATTCTCTTATCAGCTAAGTGGAACAATATCTCATTTCTATAAGCCAGTTCAAACTTTGAAGATTTCAGATACTTCTTGTATTAAGGCCCAACATTAAGGGTCATTTGTACACCCCTTTGTTAATCCTACCAACTTCCTGGTAATTCCCATGTCCACAGAGTGATAGTCTGCTTTGAAATTGATAAATAAGGCATGCACATCATGATCTACTGCCCATCATTTTTCGAGAACTAATTTTTGGATGAAGATTGGCCTAGTGTGCTGATTCCTCTCCTGAGGAATGGGTGGTTGGTCCAGCTTGGTGGTTTCCTATTATATTTTCATAATATTTATATATCCGGTTTAATAGGATATTGGCCATTATCTTGTAGGTAACCGAAAGTGCTATGCCTCTGTAATTTACTACACTCATACATGGAGTGTATTCCTTTGTTTAATCCCATACATTTGATCTGTTAAAGTTTGAAAATGTAATGGTAGCATAGGCACAGACTTCAGAGTGGCGACCGTCCCCTCCTCCAATATTTTGATAATCAAAAATGAAATCAAAATAAATAACGTAAAATATAACATAATTGACTTAAAGCCGACTAGATGGCTAAATTAATTTCTAAAATTAGGTACACAAGTATTGTATCATGTCCTACTTTCCTATTATTGAAATTTTAATTGATATTGCAAGATAATATGTTTAGCAACATATCCTAGGATTTTATGATTCATTTAAGCACAGTCTTCCATTTTATGTGAAGATTTTATCACACTTCGCATGGCAAATCACTTCCTTAAACCTTTGAATAATAATAAAAATATGTAATATACTCAATTGCTTTATTAACATATTTTCAAATATATCTATGTTATATATATATATATATATATATATATATATATATATATATATATATATATATATATATATATATAAATTAAGTTTTATATATAGTATTGCTTGTTTAATAATAATTGTGTTAATTATCACTCATAATTTTTATATTTTGTATAAATTCGAATTTTTTTGGGGAGGTCCAATGCCCTCCTCCCTTCCCCCAACAAGAACGGAAAGTTTGCACCTATGAGTGGTAGTAGAAGCTATCTTCATATGATTCATCAGCAACATAATTGCATAAAGACATGTCTTCAGTTAATGAACACACTACATAAGATTTCCTTATAACTTTGATAGTTATACAAACAAATTCAAGGCATGGCCACAATCAACATCTACCACAATACAGGCGGGATGAGGGATCTTAACTAACCATAAATATTAAAGTCAAGGTGGGAAGAGGTGGCAATGGGCACTACTCGCCCGCATGCCTATCATTGACATTACTATTCAGTGCCACTCCAGTAAATTCACTTGTTGTCTTTATTTCTGTTAGGTGTAGAAAAATAATGATAACTAATACATAATAATCAAAAGTGAAATTTTATTTTATTGTAGTTTTTTCTATCTATCTTAACGGCTCTACAAACCTCAGTGGGTCCTGGCGTCCTCAATGAGCTTCAGCCAAATTTCTCTATTCTGTGTGGCCACTTTCTAGTTTCTGACTCCCAACAGGTCTCTAGTGTCACCTGCCACACCATCTGCCCATCTCAATTTCGATCTACCAGTTCTCATCGTATACTGTGTATTCTCTCTATTCTAGCTATGTGTTCTGCCAAACTTAAGCCATACTAACTTTATTATTCTGGCCACATTAGGTTCATTGAACAATTCGTAGACCTTTCTATTTTTCCGAAATTTTCCAATCCAGTCCCTCCTTTACAGAGCCAAATATTCTTCTAAGGATTTTCCTTTCAAAGACCAGAAGGTCTTTTTCATCATTTTTGGCTAAGGTCCATGTTGTCCATGTCTAGCTAGTTCTTACCATAGGTAAGAATTAGCTAGATGAGCGTTTTACAGAGCTGTAGCTTTGTTCTTCTACTAAGTAGTGAGCTTCTCATGTGCTTAAGAAGGCCAAAAGAGCATCGGTTGGCAGCTGTTATTCTCCGTTTTATTTCAAGTGGTCTCATTTTTTGCTGTAACTTGAGATCCCAAATAAGAGAACTGTCGGACATTCCCAAAGGTGTAAGGGCCTAGAGATATTCTTTGGTTTTGTGGATTCTCTCCTTCTTCTGTATACATATATTTTGTCTTATTCTCATTAATGTGGAGCCCCATTTTAGCTGCAGCTTTTTGCAATTTAAGGAAGGCACCTTCAAGAGGCACCGTTCAACAATATCAATGTCGTCAGCGTATTTTTAAATATCGTGCCCTAAGCCTTCTCCAGAGCCAAATTAAATAATAAACATGCCAAAGCATCACCTTGTCTCAGTCTTTTATTGGTGGGAAATTCCAAGGAGCATTCTGAATGAATGTGTACTCTGCACTACACATCCTGCATTGTCATTTTTACCTGACGAATTAGTTTAGAGGGAATGTTGTGGGCGGGATGGCCGAATGGGCTGACGCTTTGTGCACAGCACCAGTGTTGTCCGGCAACATGATATATTACAAATGTGTTATAAATATAGTCATGAGTTCGCATCCCGGTGCCAAGGCATCTTTTAAATCCCTTTTTTAAAATCTTATGATCTATCTATCACCCAAGACTAAGCTATTATTTGAGAAAAATTAAAAGCAGAAATCATCAGATGTTAAGCAAAAAATCTTGCTAGTTGCAACTGGTGAATATTAAGAGGCATTTTTTTTATTTATTGAAATTATATAAAATTTTCTATGAGCTTGATATAAAAAAAGTTAATACTCCTGAATTAAAACTGTTTTATGGATAAAACTATTGATTAGAACAGTAAGTTAACTAAAGACTTGTTAACATCCTAAGTATTTGAGATTTCCTGTAGCAATTGCTTCCATAATAAGAACTGAGGTCATTGTAATTAGGCCTTATTTCCTCTGAACCCTATATATATATAATATATATAATTTATTTTATTGTATTATAATACAATATATAATAATAATATTATATAATACAATTTATTGTATTATTTTAGTTTATAATGAGTCCAAATCTTTTTTCTGCCTGTTTAGTTGATAAATTGATATATAAATATATATATATATATATATATATATATATATATATTTATATTGTATTATTTTAGTTCATAATGAGTCCAAATCTTTTTTCTGCCTGTTTAGTTGTAGATAGCTATCTTTTAGTGCTTTTATAGATCTCGGAACTGTGTAAAAGTGATTAGCATATTGCAGTAATCCCACAGTACTATTGTATATTGTCTGAGTCATCTGGATCTCTTTCCTGGATTAATCAATAATTGGCAAGGTAAAACAGGAAACAGACTTATGCATGAGCCTGCTATATTCATGTACCATAAACAAATTCTTTGTCAGATATGAGCCAATCTGGTCCATATACTCAGTCTCAAACTGGTTTGGAGTGATCTAACTCTTTTCTTTTTATAAGCTATCTTAAAATCAATGAATAGGTGATGTGTGATCAGTATATATCTAACACTTATTTCCAAGAGTCATCCTCAGTGAGAATATTCATTCAGTAGTAGGTCTCTCCCATCTGAATTCTTCTTGAATCTTTCCGAGGACTCTTTCTGCATGAGAAAGGATACTTTAGCCTATTGGCTAAGTCAAATTATTTGAGCCAGAATAGGAAAGTCAAAGTTTATTCTGTGGTTTTGTCATATAATGAAAATCATTACATTACAAACTTCTAATTATTTCTTTATAATTTGGCTATTTCTATATTTACTAAATCTAGTTTTTACTACTTATTAATTACTAAATCTGGTCCTCTTCTATATAAGGCAATATTAACAATCATGTGTGAATCATCTAGATTCTTTTTAAGCTTTTCAATTTAATGAGTCTTATATTAATTGTGGTGAGGGGAAATAAATTTTATGACTTATTTTTGTGAATTATAAGAACTATCAGGCTGTCAAACAGGATGATTGGTTAGAAGTTACTAAGCTGTTCAGAAATTTATCTATTTTTTCATTATTTGTTCATTTATTTCATCATGTAATATTCTCATTAGTTTGCTAAATTTGTGTTGGTCTATAGGATAACAGGTATGTTGCCAAAGTTTTCATGCTCTTTGTTTTTGTCCAATGAGATGTGTATATGGTGGAAGGTGTTCTTTAGCTTCACTCTTACGTTTTGCGAAAAATTACCGACACACCTTTCTATGTGACAAATGACTTATCATTCTACGTCTTGGCCATCCAAACAGTTTCATATACTGGAGCACAATGCTATAAAGCCTTTCACCAGAGAAATAAATAACTTTTTCCTCTGATATTTATTTATTTTATAAAAAATAAAAAACTACCACTACAACCCATGAAGGGTCTGGGGTTCAGTACTATTTAGGGAAAGCACTGTTTCTAGGTTGACGGTTGTGCAAGGAGGTGATTTGACCGAGATCATGCTCAACCGCCAGGTTTTCCCCCTTAATCAATTATTTAATTAAGGGTACCCACTTTATAGAGGCTGGGTATGCCCCAGGAGGGACTCCTGACTCAAGGTCGCCCCACGGCCAATGAAACAGATAAATAAATTTTCTGCCATGAGCCGTGGTTCGAACCTGGGACCTTATTTATTTTATAGGAAGTAATAAATTATAACTTCATTTATTTAGTCATTTGAGTGTAAATAAGGAAAGTATATTATTTGGTTTCAAGGATAGATATACCTTTGATCTATTCAACAGTAATACAAGATCATTATTTTTTATTAACAACTTACAATACACGTAAATGAAATACATAAATACTAGTACATAAATATATATATACTTAAACTGTCTACAAAGCTTATTACCTAATAATTCTGGTTAAACAATTATAAATAGAATCAATTAATTGAATTTTTGTCAAAGACCAAGACTGACAATAAAAAAAATAAAATAAAAAGAAAAAGACCTGAAGTTTGTTGTTGAGCAAAATGAAAACAAACATAATTTAATTAGAGTTGTTTCATGGCTGTTCTCACTGTAACTATTACTACTTGAATGGTTTTTTGATCTGATGTCCAGTTAGCGTTCTAAAAGCTAATGCAGTCTTATGACTGTTTCATATTAAGTTTTTTTTTCTAATAGATAACATGTTAATTTAACAAATTTCATAACATTGGATGATACTCTATTTAGTTTTTCCTCTAAAAATAAACAAGAATCAAGCTATGAATTTATGTATTGCTGTTACTAATGTCAGTTTAGTATCACCTCAGTAGGTGATAAACTTATTATATTAGTTTGGTAAGTTTAAATTTATTGAGTGGGATTTCTGTTAGGGTTTGCTAACTTGGAAAAACCTATCAATTCCAAAAATAAATTGTGAATTTTTAAAATCAATTAAAAAAACCATTGTCAAAACTTGTCACTCTATCCATTACGAAACTGGCAATTCATTTAGCATTCTAATATGCCAACAATAATATATATACATTTTATAAACCATATATCGAAATTTATATAAAATACCTGTAAGAAGGATATCATCATCTTATACATTATAAACCAATAAATTATTCAAAATTCTATTGATTAAATATATATTACTATCATGATTTTAATTAAAATTCCGAAAAAAACGAAACAATCACAACTGACTTAAACTTCAATCAACTAACAAACTCAGTGTATTGGTCTAGGTAACAATTCTTAATTTGTCTCTGTGTCTAACAGTCCGACAACAGTGAATAAATTTCCTACAGGTTTTTTGAATACTGCTTCTTTAGTGGGAAAAATTTGTCCTAATGTTGTATGAAGAGTTTATAACTAAAGAAAAATACAGCACTTACAAAGAAAAATAAATGCACAATCTTTATTCAAGAGGCACTGGTAGGATAGTTGTGTAATAAACTAGAATCAGGAGCATGAGCTCAGCCATAAAAAAAAGCTTCTGTTTGATTGTGTAACATTACCAATTGTGATTTTGAATCTCACTTGGGTTTGCTGAAATGGGTTTAGAAAATTGTTCTCCAGGAAACAGCTGCATTATTTTTAAGTAATGGGCTATTTTATAATTTGAAGTAATGAAAAATCGTGTGAGTAAATAATTTTGATTGACTTTGAGATGTCTTATATTGGTGGTTAAAAAGGGATTCCTCATATCTTAAAAATAACTGCTTTAGGAATAAAAACCTTATTTAAAGTTCTTGTATACTTTTCATGACCTCATGTTTATGAAAATAAAATATTTTCAGGGTAATTTATAAATAATTTACTTAAAACTTCTAAAGGGAAAACTATTTTAGTAAATTTCAGTTATGAGGTATTACTTAGCTATTGATATCAACCTTGATTAGAAAACTGAAAATTTTTAGTTCTCAATCTCATTTGGACATAAACATTAAACACTGCAAATGGCTTTGACCATCACTATAAATGGTTCCAAGATCATTCCTAGTGAAATCTATTGTGCAATAATTCCAGCTTTAAGGAGAGTTGGTGGAAATGTTAAATTTTTTATTAATTTTGATCAAATATGTTCTGAATTTCCTCATCATAAAAAAAAAGTTGTCATATAGAGCATATTCCAAAAAAGACATTTAAAAAAAAAAAATTGCCTTTTGTTTCTTTTCCTGTCTACTTTTTTTGGGGAATTTTATTTCTTCATAATTGGTTATTCAATAGTTTAGACTAAGACTTAAAATGGAAAAAAAAATACTTTTACTTCTAAAATGTTTCGGTATCACTGGAATTTTTATTGTAGATAGTTTTTCATTTCTTTCGAAACTGGAGTTTTTCCCTTTCAACTAATCAAGTATACGTTTACAGAAATTTTATTTTTAAAAAACATTTATTTAAGAGTTTTGTCAATTATTTTTAAGAGTTGATCTAAAAAAATATTTTTATTCTTAGCTTCTCAAATAAATAATACATCAGAATCACGTGTAATTCATTAAGGAAAAATTATAACCCTAATCTAAACTTTTTTTAAGGGCTTAAATAAATAAATACAAGTTAACTTTTATCATAAACCTGGAATTTTATTACAAAAAAGTTCTTTGAAACTTTGATTTTAAGAATTTTTTTCTAAAAAGTTTCAATCTCTGGTTCCAACTCATGAAAAATTGTTTGAGGAAATAAATGGGCATTCCCAAGATCGAAATTGCCTTATAATGGGGTAATCTATTGCCATGAAAACAGGAAGGCATAAATGAACTCAGTTGTAAAACAGGCAGTTAAAATTGGAATATTATCAGAATTAAAGAAACCAAATGAAAAGCTCCTCATAAAGTGCTTACATCACTAGAATGCTATATTCAATGTAACAATACTGATTAATGTTACAAAAGGTGGCACAGTTGCTGGGCAATATATCGTACTGGAACCAATAAAATTAAAAAGGATATTGAAGAAAAATTAGGTATGAAAAAATGAGAATTACAAATTATTATGCTTATATTTTATAATTAAATATATTACTTTCATTGCACAAAATAGCAAATATACAAACAATTATAACAAAAGAATGATATAATATGATGACTATTTATAATAATAACAATTGACAAATTAATATCAAGTATAATAATGTCATTCTTTGGACGGTCTTTTTTTATTGTAATAATATCTTATTCTAAAATCACAGCCTACAACTGATGTAAACTTATTCACAAGTACAATCCATATCAAACTCAGTAAAAATTGAACTACATCAGTTGCTCTTATTACTGCAAAATATTGTGTTACTTTGAATATCGTCTCTGGTATTATATAAATAATAAATATTTACACTAGAGGAACTTGATTCCTAAATATATGTACAACAGCATTTTAATTTATTTTTAAAAACACTTCTTAAATTTTTAAAATATATACAGGATCAACATTTGTTTCTAATGGAGATCTTTTTATATCTGCTTCTTCTTTGGATGCTGGTTTTGGAAGAAACGAATGTTCTATATCCATTAGCGTTTTCCCTTGAGTTTCAGGAAGAAAGAATATTACATAAGGTACAGTCAGTAACGAAATGATGCTAAAGAGTGTCATCATGCCAGTCAGGGATAATGTTTCCATCAAATTTGGATAAATTTTAATTATGGCGAAAATGAACAAGTAACCGAGTGATGAAACAATTCCGCTAAGTATTCCTCTTACTGACAGAGGGAACAGCTCACCAATCATGAGCCATGGAAGCTGTAACATTCCGAGCATACTGGCAATTACATTTACTACAAGGCAAGCGAACGGCACATAAGGGCTGGGACGGTCCTCTAGTTCTACTTTTCCATATTTGTAGTTATAGAATGCTGCTATGGCCATGCTGAGTCCCATTATACTGCTCGATGTTATTGCCATTGGTCTTCTACCAAAATTTTGTATACAAAAAGTTCCAACAATGCTTGTGACAAGACGTACAACTCCAACAATAATGGACTCAACTGAGCTGTCCAGTACTGGTCCTATGTCGCGGAATATATTAGTAGCATAATAGACAATGTTGTACATTCCAGATCCTTCTTGAAAGAGGAAAAAAAAAACTAATATCAGAAATGGTTTCCAAACTGTGGGTTTTTTGCTTTGACCTAAGTACTCTTTGTATTGAAGACCCTTTTTGCAGTCAACAGAATGAAGAATTTGCCTCATCTCAGCTTCTGCTGCTTCTTTACTACCCCTCAGTAGAAGTAATGTGTCACTAGCTCTAGAAAACTTTGCTTTAGATGCTAGCCATGGTGGTGTCTCTGGCAAGAAGTAGATGATGAAGAAACTAAAAGCTGCGGTTGCTGCACACACTACTGTTGAAAGGTGCCATTCCATCATGTAGCCAAAGAGGTAGACCAAGAGTACACCAAAAGAAACAAAAACGGGTCCCAATGCTGCAAGCATACCTCTCTCACTTGGTAGACTTATCTCTGCCAAGTAAACATAGCATGTCGATGCCATTCCTAAAACAAATTTTAAAATACCATAATTTTAGTAATTAAACAGTGATTAGTAAAATTTTATTCTATTAAATTATTCTATTTCATTAAAATTGTTTTCAAAGATATATAAACAGAATTCAGTTGCAAAATAAATTACAGAAGTTTCAATAATCGTTTTGGTTTGCCAAGCCTCATTCTTAATTTAGCAAAATACTTGATTGGTTACCCGTCTCCTTTTATTGTACTTTCTCCTTTTCTTAAAATAGGAAACCAGGTCTCTTAATATTTACCATTGACTAAAAAAAAGCAATTTGTGAATCTCAAGTGTTTCTTTTTTTTTTTAAAAAAAGATTGTTCTCAGTAATAACTTGAATGGCAAATAAAATTAAAATGGTAAACATTTTATTGTGTCATTAAAAAATTTAATTATTTAAATTAGTTTTTATTCTAGAATATAATGTATGCTTTTATTTTTTCATATCATATGAAGTGCCATGTTGCTGTTCCATGCCTAAAATGCGTATCTCAAAAAACTCTTTTCCTTGTGTATGAGCATTTAAATACCGCCTGTATTTTCTTAGGTTTTATTACAGACTTAGGAATAAAGTGAGGTAGTATACCAATATTACTCAAGAAAAAACAACAAAAATGTGGAAAAAAAAGAGACAGGTTTTAGGCTTAGGAGGGCAGCACATCACTCAGTCATTGTAACATAAATAAATCATTTACCAATTGCAAAACCAGTGACAAATCTTCCTATGTATAGCCATATTTTGTCATTTGAAAGACCCATCATAACCCATCCAATGAGGAACGGAAGGGCAGTTATCTGGATGGTGGTCTTGCGTCCAACAGTTTCTGCAAGCATACCAGAAAATAGTGCTCCTCCTGGAGTAGAAATTACGCCAAGGCTTGCTGGAAAAAAATTATAAATCATTAATGTCACCAAGTAATTAAGTAATGGTAATTAAGGGGTAAGAAAATAATAAAATAAATTCAACTATTGTGAAATTGGTTTTATCTATAGATATATAGATAGTAGGATATGCATGTACGATTTACAGTTTGTCTAAAATGTAAGTATTTAAGTTATTTATATTACAAAATGCAGTAGCTATAATAATCAGTATTTGATTTGAAGCCTGTACAAGTTACTAAGAATGGCTTTTTTTTTTTCTTAGCAAATTAATTTTATTTAGGAGTTCTTTATAAAGTATATGTATAGAATTATTTTCTCGAATTTGAACATATTAAAATTTATTGAAAATATTTTGTCATTATTAAGAAAACAAAAATAATCTTTATTATAGGAACATTACTTCTAAGAAGTATTATAATATTTGTTTGGCAAAGCTGCTTATAGTTATAGATTTTTTTAAATATTTAAAAAATATGTAAAACTATGAAAAATTGAAAGCTTGTTATACCTTACTTAGTCTAAATCTATTGGTAATTTTATTAAAATTACTAACCTATCCATGAAGCCTCTTCACTATCCACTTGAATACTGCTCCTGTTCGATTCCAGTTGGGGAAGTAAAACTGCTGAGAAGCCTTGTGACATGCCGACTGAAATGGAGTTTGTGTGGATTGCCAACGCCACCAATATCTGAAATGTTAAACAATTTTAATGATCAATATCTATATTTACACGAGTTCATGTGAAATTTATCAGTTTTAAACAATCGTAAAAATCAAATACTTCAAAAATTCTTTCCATTTCAACTTCATGAATACACAACTTATGGAATTCTGGTTGGAAGTTTTTCAAAGATTAAGAATCAATATCAATGAACTTGATTAATTCTACTACAAAGGAAGATGTTCTTAGTTTGTTAATCAACTCTAAATATATTATTAATTAGAATGTGAAGTAAAATTAACATTTATATAATTAATTTATTGCAAAAAGTCATTAAGCCAATTTTAATGATGTTAAAATTTTTCTATTCATTTTAGTGAATTTCAAACATGTTTATTAATGCTTAAAGCATAGTGGATCAAAACAACACAAACCTTATTTTACATTAAAAATATTTGTGCTGTGTTAACAATATTCTGATTTTACAATGAAAAATTCTTGGAAGAACTTAGTGTTTTAGTTTTATTAAATGTTACTTATGACTGTTCTCAATAAACCAATGATATAATATTTATATAAAGAAATGTGATATACTAGTATACAATTATTATTGAAAAACTGATAACATAAAAAATGGTTCTAAAATTGTAATAAAGTAGAAAAATAATTATTGATCAATGAACTTTTCTTAAAAGTATATAAAAGATCATGTTGGCAACATTGTATGATGTAGAATGTCTGCGCTCCTCTACCTAAATTCAGCAATTCATTTTTACTGAATTATCTATTGATAAATTCTTGGTAAGTCTAAACAAATATTTATTGGATTATATACATAGTTTATGTTAGATTTATATGTCCATAAAAATATGTTTTGCATAATGTTTGCTTTCAGAATATTTGTATAGATTATCTAAAGGTGAGTTTAAACATTTCACAAACTATGGGACAGTCAAATTAACGGTTATTTGACTTTGGTATTATTTTTGTTTCTTGTTTTTGATATTTTTCATCTGCTGTTGGTATCAAGAGAAATAAAATGAATAGTTTGCTTTAGCAATAATGTCACTGATAGTTAAGTTACATAATTGTGTTTCCCATAGTTTGTGGAATGTCTAGACGCAGTTTAACTTTTAACTTTCATTATTCTTACATTTTTGTATTTGAATAACTACCAACATGATTTAATTAATTTCAACATTTTCCTGTATATTTCTTATTGTTGGCCATTTTTTCCCTATTTTGAAAATTAATTAATGGAGTTCTTCGATGTGCAATTACAGATATGTACCATAAATATTATAATTTTATGATTTTAATGTTCATTCAGTAATGTTTTGAATAAAATTGTTATATTTTAGTTAGATTGAAAGAGAAATGTGAATGAGAGGAAACAAAAGATTGCTTTTGTAGTTACATAACTACTATACAAAAAATAATTCAATTAAATCGATTTTATATTTTAGTAGTTGTTTAAGACCGTTTTTGTGAAGCGATACAACAGAGTTGAAAATTTTAACATCATTTTCTTCTTAATAGCAACTAGAATTTTGTTGAAAGATAAAGAAATTGTCTTGTTAAAATTACCATATTCTTCACAATTACTTTTCTATACACAAAACTTTGTAGAAACAGTTTTAATTAATTTAGTTCCATATATTTTTTTTTTGTTTTATATACTGTTCCATTGGAGGAAGAATGAGACAATATGGAAACGTAGAATTTTACAAATAATAAAAAATGAATTCAGATATTTTGTTTGTTAGTCAACAAACATATCTTTTTCATTTTACAAAAAAAAAATAATCTTAATTTTTTTGATTATATAATCATGAAGCATTAACCCAATTGTGGTACTTTCTCTTTAAAAAAAAAGTTCAAGCTCCAGGGTTAATGTATGATTAAAACAATGTTTTTTACTGAACAACAAATTGAAATTAAAAATAAAAATCAATCCAAAATATTTTATTGAATGTTTAAAATGACGAAAAAATGTTTTTAGAATAATTAACTATGTTTCAATTATTCATATAGGATCAAAAATGATGGGTACTTTTTGTTCACCTAATGGCTTTTTTCGACACCACCTCTCTCTCTACGCTGAGGATAGATCTTTTTGAATTCTCTCCACATTATCTTAAGTTTGTTGTCGCCCATTTTTCGAGATTAGCGAATCATAAACGAGAGCTGATACTTTGCTTAAAAATTTTGATTCATTATTCATTTTACGATGACTTTTCTTTTCTCCTGAAAAAGCTTATTTAGAAAGATTTCCTTAACTGATCCTAGTCATGAGGAAAATAAGACAAAATTGACTAGCCAATTCATGATCAACGGCGTATATAAATAGATATGTATATATATAAATGTCAAGGCCTTTATATTGGAAGAATGCAAGTCTACCAGTTTGCAAGTAGTATTTTTTTATTGTTTCATATAATGCAACAAGTCAACTTTTTGAATCATGCTTCAATGCAAGTATAATTATAATTTTACGATGGAGACATTATTTTTATTTCTAATTAACATTGGGAAAAGAATGAATTATTAATCGATATCTATTGGTAAATCGAAAATCAATAATAACAACAATCCGCAAGTGCGATTGTAAGTATAAAAGAAAGTTTAGTTGTTAGTTGCGTTCCTCAAAAAGTATAACAAAACTTTTTTCAGAAGTCAATGCTTAGGACCGTTTTTCTATTTGCGTCGTCGACCCATTGTATTAGTTAAGAATCATCTTGTTATGTGTTAAAAATCGAACTAATTTCATTTGAATACAGTGTTCTTTCCTGTGTTGAATTATAAAGTCGAATTTAATTATTGAGATGTTTCATATCGAAATTATGTAATAGAAATCATGACTAATTATAACTTTAATCCTTTAAAAAAAGGTTTTCGATATATATACTATATATATTTAAAGAGGAGACAAGGTGGGGCAGCGCTGTCTCAATAGGGAGAAAAATTTTATTAACGTAGCAATACATACAAAAACGAATTTATGAAAAAAATATTAACAGCTACAGGTTGGTTGTTAGTATTTCAACGTTCTGAAAGAAATTAATTACGAAATAAAGATTAATTCCCTTTTCTTAAATAAATTGTCTACTTTTTAAACAATGTATAACAACGATAACAGGTTTAATAATCAATTTTAATGATCGGTGAAAAGGTGAGAAAAAAAAATAAGCTAAAAGAATTTTATTTTATTTTTTTGAAAACAGCGAAAAAAAAAATGAAAACTATCCCACGTTTTTCATTCAAATAATTTCCCTTAGTAAACTCATTAGGAATCGACCATAACAACAAAACTGGAATTCGGCCTAGAACATTCTGAAATGTATACTTTCAAAGGCTTTAAAAAATAAATACATACCGCACCCAGATTCATTACTAGACTGAAAAAACTATAAGAATTATAACATTCGTGCATAATTAATTGTAAAAAATAATTTTATAAAGTCTGGAGAAAAGCCAAATTGCAAAGGAGATAAACAAAATTCCTTCTTCAGAAAATCTAATGATTTTTTTTATTGACATTACTGAAATTGGAGGGAAAATTGAGGTATTTCGAAACCATATTTATGAAACAAATCTGATTTTTTCCGAATAAAAATAATTAAATAATATAAAAAAAAAAAGAGAAGAGATGTGAAAACCTAAATCACCTTCGTTATTTTCAATCATAAAGTTTACGTATTGTTTCCATAAAATTGTTAAATTTTGTAAAATTGAGAAAATATTTTAAATCCAAAACAGTTTTGGTGATAGGGATTTGATACTTCGTTTCAAGATATATATTCATATATAAATATTTAATAAATAATTATACATAACATTTATTATGGTAAACGTGAATATATTTTTCTAAGTTTGAAACTATTATTTAAAGAGTTTAGGCGTGAAATGTATAGTTGTACGAACGATTTACGGCAAATAGAGATGTTTATTTACATCGAACTATCCAATTGTAATCAAAGTAAATAAAACATTCCTTCTATATAAAGCATTATAATTTCCACGAGTTTTTTTTTTTTCTCGAATTATCTATTTTTTTAGACCAGCTTTTATCAAGAAATGGAAAAAATAAATAAAAAAATTGAAATGCCAGCGAATTTTGTATCTACTGGTTACGTAACATACCTAATTTAAGGATATTTGACAGAATCTTCGAAACCTCTCATTAATCAGTTTTGAAATTCATACATTGCTTCACGAGCTTTTTTTTTTTTAACTAAACATTATAATTTTTTAAAAATCCTTTTATGGAATCTGTTGAAACGCGAAAGAAAATGAAAGTGAGAAAAACAAATTGGCTTGTATAACCGGTGAATGCTGATATGTGATTCTGAATCGATATAGCCGTTAATTATTCGACTGGGTCAAGTTCAACAACCGACCACATAACTAACTCAGTAATCTGAGCATAGAGCATTTTCGATATTTTATGAATAATGATTTTTATTATTTGTAAAAATTTAATGCTTGATATACAGTTAATTAATCAAAATAATCATAATATTTTACTAACTTATCTTATAACTATCTATCAAGTGTGTTCAGATTCTGCAGTTAGTGGAAATACAATTTTTAAAATTTTGCTATTATACCCCAGAAAATTCTAACATGTAATTGTTATTCCTTCCCCTAATTCATTCGACATTAAATTTATATTTGTATGAGTAAATATTATCATGACAGTCAATTCAAAGTACAAAATTAGGGAAGCTTCATACGTTACCACGAATGTTTTTTGTTTTGTCTTTATTATTTTATTATCTTCAAATATCCATCCTAACCTGTCATGCTAGTGACAATTAGTAAATTTGTTTTTACGGTGCAAAATGTCATGATGAAGAATAGTAACCAGCAGCACCTCTTCCTTGGTCTGTTTACATCCTTAAATAAGGAAAGGAGATCTCTCATCCAGCTCCTTTTCAGTCGCCTTCTGATGAGCATGTCAGCCGTGGCCATGTCGTTGGTAAGTCCGTTGTGATGTCCTTGTTGTTTAAGATGAAATAAGAGTA